CTCTGCATTGCGAGTTGGTGAAATATATTTGAGTGCCCATCGAGCTCCATCTTGAGGCTGCAGTGGGGATAAAAGATATGTATATCCCATCGTTTGTTTGGCCCTCAGCTCGTCGGCCATTAGTCGGCTGCGCACTGGCTAATGGACGTTAATAAGGCGTTAAAGTGCCTAATTGCCGATTATGGCTCTCGTTGCGATAGGTCTGAAGAGGGCTAGCCGGCCCCAAAACACAATATTTTGCATGCCCATGCAATCGACCTCCACTCCCCCGCTCTGGCTCTCCGTTGGGGTAATCTATGGCCCGACTAGGTCCTGCTGCTTTACGCTTAAAGCCACGTTAAGACAGCTCTGCTCTGCCCTTGAGCCCCCCTGTTGCGTTGGAGCAAGTTTTCCCTTGCCGGAAAATGCAATGCAGGGAATGCAATTTAAGCGGAGCCAGCACTGGAGCCAGTGAATGGGAATGCTGAAACAGCAGTGGGAGCGCCAGACGCCATAAGCCAGGAGCATGAGCCAGGAGCAGCCACGATGAATGGCCTGCTGCCAGTGTATGCTAGACCATGGATCCATACTCTGTAAATTGTTTGCGAAATTCTTTTTAAGGTAGATGGAGCTTCTTTCTTTTTGACTAAATACGAGTCTAGCCCTGCTCCCGACAATAAAAGGAGTTGCATGTCCTGCATATGTGGCAGTAAACCAAAAGGGAAACTATCTGCAAATAGAAACTGGTTTCAACACACAAAAGCAATATGTGAAACACTAATTGCCCAGAGGAATATTGCATTTAATTGGAGCCATTTTGCCAGCTTAATTGGCAGCAATTGGCAGTTAATTTACAATCTACTGAATCTACTAACTGAAGCAAACTATTAGAAACTAAATGCCAACAAAGATTGCACTTCTTTAATGAAGAGTGAACTGTTTTTATATGGCTAATGCATGTTGGATGTTTTTTTAAACGGAAGAATATATAATAATTATGTGTCTAAAATTTGCGCAGATCTCAAAGTCGATGCTATGATTAGTGGCTTGCCGCAGGGATATACAAAATACGAGTACATGTGCTTTTTGTGCGACAGTAGCCGTAGGCCTCTTTTAATACTTTAAAAGAATATTCAATTAAAGAGTTAATCATGAAAATTAGTAAAAATCTAATTCCTGCATTATTAATGAAATTCCTAAACGGCCCTCAGCAAGGCCAATATGGCCCTTAGTTATCCGGAGAGAGTTCATGGTGTTTATGGGATTCTAATCGCGAATCGAGGTGTTTTTCGCATAGGCCAGTAATTGCTGTGGCGTCTTCTTGGAGGTATCTTCCAGTGATGCCCAGGTGAGAGAGAGAGCCGGACAGTTGCAAATGAGATGTTCCAGGGTTTCGATTACCCCAGGTTCATCACATTTCATACAGCTGTCTATAACTTCTATGTTCTCCAAAAGATTTGGTTATTTAACCTCTGATTTTCCTCGTAATAGATCAGGCTTTCATTTCCAACCAATAAGTAAATTCAGCAAAAATCTTCTTGTGAGTGCAATCAATAGTATAACCCAGTTTTTATTCTACATTTTAAAAAGTTACGGAGTTAAGATTATGCCATAGTCGGTTGCTTGGAAATTTTGATGGTGGATCGGAATCGGTGTAAAATAGTGCTATTCTTGGAATTTATCTCATTTCAAACTGTTTTTTTTTGGTATAGGAAATTCTTCGAAACAGTTGCTGCTGCTGTTTCCCTGTTATTGGACTGTTTCTTCAATGAAACTTCACTGATTTATCATATATACAACGCCTATTCATAAGAGATACCTGACTGATTCTTATAGGATAGGATCAAAAGTGGAGGTCTGTGTAAAGGTTCCTCGACTGAACGCTGAAGAAATCCTTCAATATCTTTTCCTTCCTGTAGATTCCTTATAAATTGAAGAGCTAACATTTTGGGTGGCATTCTCTTATACCCCGTTATACGCTGGAAAAAGTGGGGGTGTGTTGAGGGGTTGGGAGAAATCATAAACAGCGCTTGAGTGCATTTCAAGTCCGTCAGAGCCCGCTTTAAGGATTTCTCTACAGATTTTTTTGTTGCTGTTTTGGCAAAATATTTCAGTTTCATTTTTATTTTTGTGGCAAGCTGCCAAATTGTGCTGCGGTCGGCGTTGCAAACACTTAACATCGAAGGGTGTGAGGAGAGGAAATCATGCCCCACACAGCAGGTTACGGATGGTGCATAGTGGGGTTTCCCCGGCAGATCTCCTGTCCATGGCCGAATGAATGGTGACTGCAAATTGGCCCGATGGTTTGTGGCGCAATTAAATTTAATTTTGAAAACAGTTGCCTGAACTGCTCTAAAGCCCGAATGCAATTAGCGCCCCTTCCTGGTCCTGTGGCAGGCAGGCAGATATGCAACGTGGACTGTGGCAGGAGCAAACAGGCAAAAGTGAAAGCATCAGCGTCAGCATCAGCGCCAGCATCAGATGTCTGAAATTCGACATCAAAGGGGAGGCGAACGGGCAGGGGCTCGGGCACGGGTGGCCACAAGTCGGGGCATTGTTATATATGTCTATGTCGGCAGCCTATTTCTGGCCCATGTCACGCCCCCTGGCCACACACACTCGTCCTGCCTCTGCCTCTGCCTCTGCGCTGCACTGCACTGCACACTCCTTTGTCCTTTGTGTGTCTGCAGTGGGTGTCTGTGCGTTTTGTTTGCTTAGTTGGTTTCTCTATTTTCTGGCCCTCGCCAGCTCCGCTCCGCACTCTCGAGCGGAAAGAGAACTTCAGCCAACAAAGCGCTCGAAAACGAGAGCGAGCGCCCTTTCAAAATTGTTTGTGGCTTTCTGATGCACCAAACAACAACAAAAAGTGCCTGAACGAGAGGTTCGAGTAGTCGAAGGTTGAATACTCTTTCGTCTTGAGACCTTTTATTGGTTTATAGACAGAGCCGCAAACAAATAAAGTTCAAGTCCTATACCTCCTTCTTCATAACCCTATAACCGAGGGGCTCTGCCGCATGACGTGCCTTTTGCCGTGTGTAACCAACATCTCACTTTGTATTCCCCTTTGCAAGGGTATCGGCTGATTGAAAAGAGGAAAGTACTCATACGAGTGCTGTACATGCATACAATATTTGTATGTTCTCCGCTCTCCATTCTCCGCTGGCAACGCTTTGAGTGCACTATTTTTTGGCAACAACAAATGCTGGAAAGTCAGGCGAGTGCTGCAGTGCAGGAGTGCAGGAGGAGGCTGAGAGAGAGAGAGTGGAATAATGCAAATGTGGATTAAGCCAAATGGGTCGGCAATCGGATTTCGATTGGTTATTTGCCAAATGCAAAATGGATGATGACCGAACTAAAGGATGCTGAAACTGTGGCATTGATGAAGCTTATAAATGGCAATACTCATTGGGTTATACACAAAAGAATCCCTAATTGTATTGTTACCATCATTCGAGTGACAAAATTGTAATTCGATTGCGTTGAGAGTTGAGGCAAGGATCGGACTTTAAGGCAAGAGTAGCTGGGTATGTCCCCACAATACAACTGAAGATGTCTTGAGCTAAATTGTAGAGTTTTTTGCGGCTGCTGTGGCTTTCCTTTTGGCACTAATGAAATGAAGTTTACCAGCATCCACAGCCGGGGCTCACCTCTTGCCCTCGCCCACTCAGCAATTTGCGACAATTGCGACTCAACGGGCAGACGCGTGGTTACCTCTGATGATCCACTACAGCTCAACTCATCCACTCAGCCACAGTCGAAGCCGTCCTGGCACACTGTCCACAAGGACTCGAGAACTTTTGTGTGTGAGTTTGTCTTTGTCTGGGAGTCAGTCACGAATGTGGGGGGGGGACCTCTGACTGGCAACGCAACGCAATTCAATTTCCGCTACACAGACAGACAGCTGCATATTTCCACTTGAACACTTGCATTTATCGCCTGTCGAACTGCAAGTTTTTGCTCCAGGCCCCAAAGCTGTTGCTCCTCCTCCTGCTGCTGGATTGTGCCTGACTTTTATCTATGTGTGTATGTGCGCTGCTTTCATTTAAATAAGCAGCCAGTTGTGCCTATTTAAACCGAATGCCAACAATCTCGCACAGCATTCAATGCAGACCACTTGCCATCATAACGCTATGCAACAGGGTTTGTTTTCCATGGTGGGACAGAAAAGTAGATAAACGGAATTTAATTGGAGCAATAAAAGAGAATGAGGGAGGCAGGAATGGCAGCAGCTAATAGTAGATCTGGGAGTTCAACATTCCATTAAAGCTACATATGCCACACAACATTTAGAGTCGTTACGAGTATGGTGGAGGAGAGTACAGTAGAGTGGTAGTAGATCCACTAGAAAATATATATATGTATATATATTGATCCTTCCGCTTCGTAGATCGACCTATTCCTTAGATGAAACGTTTAGGGTTTTATTCCGCCACATTATATCCTATATTCCTATATCCTATATTGCGTCTACCCCGGACTCTCTAGCCTCGTTTCACTCAAGCAGACGACGACAACGATCAAAACATACTGTATAAAATAGCGAGATTATATGTCCGACTGATTGACTCTTCCACCTCGTGCCTTTGCTGTCTCCCTTTCAACCCGTGAGATTTGTACTCATAAGAGTAAAAAAACCCATATAAGTGGCTCTTTGTAGCCTTTGTAGTCTCTGCAGACAGAAGTACAGAAGTCTTCCTGCCTGGGCCCATAGTACATAGCCCTAGGATCCCCGCTGTAAAAGGATGAGAGGCATTTACAAAGGCAACAACAGCGCGCAACAGCCCTCAACTTAACCTCAATGAGTGCTGTGCGGCGACGGTGGCGTATGTGTAACATGCGGGCGACTCGAATTGCGGGCAGATTTATATATAGCTTAGCTCCGGGGGCTACTTGTTGGATCTTCAAATATTTATGAAAGGCGAATGAAGAAAGTTTTTCCGTTGCTTGCACTCTGCAGGGCCTCGGCTCGGCTCCACTTTACTTAACCCACTATCTCTCCCTCGCCCTCTCCCTCTCTGCAGATGCACTCGAATCTGTGGATATTTATTTGGCGCCGCAAACTCTCCTTCCTGCTAGTAGTGTCTGGCCTCGTGCTGCTGGGTCTCTGGACATGGGCCATACTCATCGATACGACCACCACGCCACCACTGCCGGTTCCCTCAGCGAATGCTGAGGCAAGAGAGCGCCAACAGCAGCAGCAGAACCCGGGATACCAGCAGGTCCATATTATCCAGAAGCTAATTGCCCAGGCCAACCGTGTGCTCCGCGCCGATCGACTCAAGGACAACGCCGCCGGAGAGAAGGCGCCAACTGTCCAGCGTTTGGGCAACGTGCGATTCCTGCGTCCCACCCAGGCCAAGAAGGCCCCACTGCCGCTGTCCGAGAGCTATCTGTTCGAGCAGGAGCGCCTGAAGATACTCGAACAGCAGCAGCGTCAGCGCAACGCCGGAATGGAGGAGCTGAATGCCAATGCGGAGGATGAGCGTATGCTCAGCTCTGCCGAGCGCCAGACCCAGTACGAGCACGATCTCCAGCGGATGGGCGTTCCCGTGGTGGCTGGTATCGGACCAGACGGGCCACGTTCCCCTAACGAGCGTCTCGTCCACTTGGATCTGAAGGGGGCTCCGCCCAAGCTGAGTTTCCTCAAGCAACTGCTGCCGATGCTCAGGGCTCTGGGTGCCACGGGGCTACTGATCGAATACGAGGATATGTTTCCCTTTACTGGAGCCCTCCAGCCGCTGGCCGCCCACAATGCCTACAAAGAAGATGAATTGAGGGTAACATTGAGGGATTCAAGAGATTCATTTAACTTATTATAGTCTTTTAGGACTTTCTGGAGTGCGCCGCCTTGCATGGTTTGAGTGTGATGCCTCTGCTTCAGACCTTCGGGCATTTGGAGTATGTCCTGAAACTGGAGGGATTCGAGCAGCTGCGAGAGCTGCCCGAAAGTCCCCAATCCATCTGCCCCAGTCAGCCGCAGAGCATGGCCCTGCTGGAGCAGATGCTCACCCAGGTGATCGAGCTGCATTTACAGTGCATCGGCAAGGCCACCCCCTCAGCCCCGACACTGCCCATCAAGTTCACGCACATCCACATCGGATGCGATGAGGTGCAGCGCATGGGGGAGTGCCAGGCCTGCCGCCAGAGACTCCGGAGCGAGCTGTTCCTGTCGCACGTGATCAGTCTCTCGCACTTTGTGCGTCGCCAGTGGCCCCAACTGGGCGTGGTCATCTGGGATGATCAGCTGCGATCGATGTCACTCAGCGAGCTGCAGCACTCGCAGATCGGCAGCTATGTGGAGCCCATGGTGTGGGTGTATGCCAGCGATATCTATCGGTTCATCCAGCCGCAGCTGTGGGACACCTATGCCAAGGTCTTTCCCAGTGCTTGGGTGGCCTCGGCCTACAAGGGAGCCTTCGGCGAGAGCCTGCTGGTGCCGCCGCTGCAGCATCATCTGGAAAATAATATACGCTGGCTGGCGGTCATCGCCAAGGAGGGCGGACGCTTTGCCAAAGGACTGCGCGGTGTGGCTCTAACCGGCTGGCAGCGATACGATCACTTTGCCGTCCTGTGCGAACTGCTGCCAGTGGGAATGCCCAGCCTGATGGTGTCGCTGTCGACTGTTTCCAAGGGTTATTTCAGCACTAATCCAAGGGACAACGATCTGCTGCGCGTGCTGCAGTGCGTCTTTCAGCCGGACAGCCGGCGCTCGGGTCGCCCCTGGCTGGAACTTCATCCGAATGCCCATCATAGCCAACTGTTTGCTGTCTGCAACTATCCCGGCCACATGGTCTTCAAGTATGCCCTTCGCCTGTACGACAAACTGGCCGAAGTGGGAGTCTATCTACAGCAGACGCGCGAGCAGAGCGCCTGGCTCTCCGACTACAATGTGAGGCACAACTTCAGCTCCCCGTTGAGAGTTCACGAGCTGATTGCCCGAACGCCAATACTGATTGAGGAGCTGCGCGCAATGGCTCGCGAGGCACAGCAGCTGCTGTGGGAGGCGTACGATGAGTACACGGTGGCTGAATTCGTAGAGCAGCACATCTATCCTACCATCGAGGCGCTGCAGCGCCAATTGGCCAGCGGAGCGACGCTGCTCCAACGCCGCACCTGGCCACAACGGCCGCTGCCATTGACCCTGAGGATACAGGAGGATATGGGCTTGGTCACAGATCGCCAGCCGCACTGAGCAAACACACCGTGATGTTGATAACTAATGTATAGTGATGGCGTTCGAAACGCCCCAAGACCCAGCAATGGAAAATAAGCGATAATTCGAATGTTAACAGCGCTGCAGCAGGCATTTCTCTATCTATCTACATATATCTATAATTAATAGCATTAAATGTTCATTTTTTCTAGACTACTTTATAAGCCAAAGCTCAATTATACAAGTAAAAGATCTAAAATAATCATATGATAATCCAAATCTACAAGTAATTTGTTTATATGCCAAAAAGAAACAAGTGCGGGCTAGTATACGAGTAGCATTTCAAATATTGCGCGCACTTCAGTTCTAATTTCAAATTTCCCGCACAGTTCAGTGGGAGTGGAAATTTTAAAGCTGACAATGGCCTTACAGGGTTGATATCAGTCGCGAAAGCGCATGAAAAGGATGCAAGCCAGGTTACTATTTACGGTATATTTATGTATACTTTTCGGTTTATGTCCGAGGGCCCTGTGACGAAAAAGTGCCTCGTAATTTTGAATGGGCTATAAAAAAGGGTATGGACAACAGGCAAAAACAGCCAAGGCAAATGGCAAGGTTCGTACGAGCCCTCACCTCACCGTGTTGTCTGTTGTCCACACCCTCGTTTTCCTTCTATTATGTAGCAAATGTGTAGTAACCGTGTAGTGTATATTTACGGTAGATGTTAAAAATGAGACGGGGTGAAACGAAAGCTCAAAAAGGACGAAAAGGAAGGTAGGAAACACATGTTCGCGCAAAATCGATGATTAAAAGCAAAAACGGAAAACTTTAGCGTGCATAACAGAAAGTTAGCTTAAAAGTGTCCAAATCGATTTACAGCAGTCGTGAAGCTGCCAGGCCAGGACCTTTCCGGTACAGAGATTCTTGGGGCAAAACAAAACATAAGGAAAATGGGTATTACAACAGAGACAGCTACAACAGCAACCGGAATGGGAGCGGCGAATGGTGGAGCAGCCGATGTCGAAAGCAAACAGATCCTGTCGCTGGAAGTTTTCCAAGAGTTATTCAAGCACGTGGAGCCGGATGTGGAAATCGATGCCTTTGAGGTAATGTGATGCATGAAACGGAGACTCTAAGTATTTCTTGTGTGACGTAGTGGACACGTGGCTTTTGCAGCTGGCTCAGGGCTCGGACCGCGGCGACAATTATACGGCGGCCTTGTATCGGATAAATCTGAGTGGCAAGCGGCAGAGTCTCGATGGCAGCCAACACAAATGGACGCAGAGCGTTATATGCAAGGTCATGCCGGAGAGCGTGGCCCAGCGAGAGGCCTACAAAAGCGACAAACTGTTTCGGTAAGAGAGATCCCTACGCAGATACTCAAACTATCTAATCTTGTGTCCCATCAACAGCAATGAAGTGGAGTTCTATACCACAATAATGCCAGAGTTGCTCAAGTTTCAGGCCAGCAAAACGGGCCGAGACTCGCCAGTGTTTAATGCCATACCCAAGTGCTATACGGCCCGACATGATTTGCTCATAATGGGTAACTATGTGACCACATCTCCTGCCTTGGCAATCTTTGAAGCATATTCCCTTTCATGCAGAGGACCTGCGTGAACGCGGCTTTCAGATGTCCGATCGCCACAAAGGACTCAGCATGGAGGAGACGCAGTCCGTCCTCTTGCAGGTGGCCCAATTACATGGCCTCAGTTTGGCCTACAAGTTTGAGCATCCGCTAGACTTTGCCAAGCTGTGCAGCCTCATCAGCGAGGGCATCTTCTGCACGGCCAACACGAGTTGGTATAGAAACTACTACGAGCGTCTCACGAAGAACGCCGTCAAAATGGTTTCCGAAGTGCTGCCCGCCGACTCCAAGTATGTCCTGGCCATGCGAAATTTCGCTGAGAGCTCCTCCTTCTTTGGCCAAATGGTGAAGATTGCCAGTTCAGAGTCCCCGTTGTCGGCCATTTGCCATGGCGACTGTTGGGTCAACAATTTTCTGTATCACTACGATCCAGAAGATCCAACGCTGGTGCTGGAGGTGGCCCTGATAGACTTCCAGCTAATACGTTATAGTTCGATTGCCTTGGATATTGCCAATCTGTTGTACTGTTGCACCACGAAGGAGATGAGGGATGCGGAGCTGAAATCGTTGCTGAAAACCTACACGGAGGAGTTGTTCAGGTGGCTGAAGATCCTGTGCACTGAACTGCCAGAACACTGCAATACCCTGGAAAAGCTGCAAAAACTGTAAGATAACGAATGCGTTTTAAATTAAAATAAATTTATCCATCTTAATTTTCGCTCAAGCTTTGCCGAGGAGCTGAAAGCCTATGGACGCTTTGCCCTGGGTCTTGCCATGGACATTATACCTATAAGTACATGTTCTTCCGAAGATGCACCGGATATGTACTTGAATCGCAACGATGAGCCCGAGGAGGAGGATGAGGGTGCGCCAACGCTTAACTTTCCACCCAACGATCTGTGTCGCCAGAAAATGGTCGAAATAGTTAAAGATATGGTCGATGGGGATATGCTTTAGAGCTGGCTTCAATCTCAAGCCATCTGCACGAAACACCAAATTAACGATAACTCAGTAACCCATAGTTATATGCAAAACTAGTAATATTTAAAAACAAAGTAGCCTACTCTAGTTACCATTAGGCCTAGCAATAATTTATACGATTAGAGGGTACCACCGCTACCGACAGCGTTACATTACGTTTCTCTAACAAACATAAATGGAATTTTCGTCGAAAAGGGAGCTCTATGAGTGAAGCAATACGATGCCATCGGGGTTATCTTTAGATTGAATTTTGTTTAAGTTTTTTAGACGTTTTTCTTTTCCTCTTTATTGGATATATGAGTATAAGTAAACCCAACGAACCGAGGCCAAATTAGGTAGACTTACAATTTCTTTGGAATTTATTTTATTTTTAACCAAAGTTGCCGATGGATATTTCTTGAACAAAGCAATATGTTTGACTGTTCCTTTCGTTCTTGTTGTAGCCCATCTATACTTAACAGATATTTGTTGGACCTTAGCTCAAAGACAACTTGTCCCGTTCGCATATTATGTATTGTGTTTTTTTCTTAAGTATTCTTTACACAAAGCAATAAATTATAAACAAAACTAATGCCTTAAATTAATAATCCGCCTTGGCTGTCCAAGTAGCCTTGTTGGTCATCGCTTCCTTGTCACAGCAATTGCGCAGGAACTTCAGACCAGCCTCGATGGAGCGTTCTAGCTCGTTCTGGGACCTATGTATCTTGGCTGGAGGAGGTCCCATATCATTTAGGCCGGGAGGAGGCGGTATGGCAGCCCCCCGACTGCCTGCAGATGTGGAAGGTGTGTCATTGTCAATGTCATCGGTGGGGGTAGTGTAATTGCGTCGCTGGAACTGCTGCTCTTTCTTGCTGGAATTGAAATTACTGAATTCCTGTTCTTGGATTTCCCACAGTGGGGGCGGAGCTGGAATGCTGCTGAAGTTGCTGCGTTTTAGCGGCTCTGGAAGGGGAGCGAACTCCTCTTTACGCTCGCCACGCTGTTTTTCGTTCCACTCTTCCTGTGACATGGGCAGACGTTCGGCTTTGTATTCCCACTCTTCCTCCGGCTCTTGCGACGCCAGTTTCTCCTTATCCCAATCGCGAACATGCTCCTTGCGCAGCTCCGCGCGTTCCGCTTCCTCGGCTTCTTTCTCTTTCTCAATGGCCTCTTTCCTTTCACGTGCTTTGCGCTCCCGTTCGACAGCCTCAGCTGCTGATTCGTCTTTCTTCTGCTGCAGTTCCCGTTCGTAGTCCTCCTTGCTGATGGGCGGCAGACCATTGCGAGCCCGTATGCGGTTCTTGGCGGCCAGCACTCGACCAGCCACCATGCTGTCCCGCTTGGCTCTCAATTCATCGCGTCGAGCCTGCTCCTCAGTTGTGGCCTTGCGCGCCTCCTCCAGCTCTCTTTGCTGCTTTGCGCGCTCTTCTTCGTCTGTGGAAAAGGCATAGTAGCCGACACCGTGGGTGCGGGCCTCGTCGAAGAAGACATCTTGGTAGTGAATGTCTGGTTTTTCGGCATTCTCCTGCTCTTTGCGCTCCCAATTCAGAAGCAGCTCGGCGTGGTGGGTCGCCGTGGACTGGTCGTCGCTGAAAATGCTGCCCGGAGGGCGTGGTTTAATGTTGAAATCCTCCTCCGCCGCCTCCTCCCCCTCCTTCTGTTCGCCCTTGGTGTCTATCATCCAGTTGGCCTTGGTTGTATCAATGCGCTCAGGCATACTTTGGGCTAGCTGCTTGTCGCGTTTCTTCTCCTCTGCCAATACCCTTCTGAGACATTTCCTTGTGCGGCCCAAACAATCAACGTACTCCACTTCATCATCGTCGTTGCCCTCCTCTTCGCTGGAGCTGCTTGAACTGCTGCTCACTCGCCCGGGCGGAGAACAAGTCTGTGGCTCTTCGTCTAGGTCTTCCTCCTGGCGCTTGCGATTGAACATGACCAGACAATTGTCGTCAGAGTTGAGGTTGCCTCCGCTGCGACTCATTCGATCGTAGTACTTGCTCTTCGCCTCCAGAACGCGCCGAGACTTCTCCAGCTGCGCATGATCCTCGGTCTCATAGACCCTGGCGTCCTCGTTGCGGCTCACTTCATTGTAGCTGTGCGACTTCTTCTCCTTAGGCTTCTCCTTCTCGCTGACGACTTTTTGGGGCTTGTGTTCAACAGCCGATACCTGGGCCGCCTTGGCCAACTTCACCTCATGCTGCTTGCGCAGTAATTCAGCCTTCAGGCTGAGCAAAGATGATAAATTTACCGAGATAGCTTTGTTTGGGTCGTTCATTTTCAAAATAATTCAAGAAATTCGAATGCTAGAAAGGGATAGAAAAGGCAATCAGCTGTTGGAGCATGTTTGAAAGGTTTTCGATAAAACGCCACGGTAACCCTAAATTATGTATGGTTTTGCAGCCCTGGTAAAAATATTTATTTATTTACCTTTTTAAAAAAATGTCTGGATCTGGCGAGGATTTCCAAGTTGTCACCAGGAAGAAATGGATAGCCCGCAAGTGTTTGAGGCGGCGGGATCGCCACAAGTCCGAGTCTGACTATTTGAAGGACTGCCCCGATGTGGATGTCGACAAATTTAAGGAGTAAGCGTGAATGGGAATTTATATTCGTGGCCTCTGAAAATTCTGTATATCTAAACCCAAAACTATCCAATTCTAGTCGGCTGGAGCGTCTCTGCACGAAAATGTCACAAAGCGACTACTTTATGCTGGCTATGGAGACGCTGCAGCAACAGGTGGATGTCATAAATCGACCGCTGGAACGCATCGTCTGCCTGGGGCTGGGGCCGTTTTCTCGCACCCACATCGCCCTGCATCAGGCAGCATTCGTTGTTAGCTTGCAGCGACACTACCAGATCAAGGAGGCTATTTATTTCGATCCTGTGTTCAGGGAGAGTGAGAAGGAGTTGCTGCGGCTGTTCGATGGCAGTGTGATAGCCGAAGACTGTGCAGGCAAGCACGAGGCGACCGTTCCCACACTCTACTATCTTCCACACTGCCCCTACCCCCTGATGAACAACATCCTGTGGAGCAACTGGACAAGGGATACTCTGCCAAACGTACTACTTGTTTCGAATAGTTTTGAGATGCTGACGATGACACGAAAGACCCCGAAAGATCACATAAATCAAGTAGTCGAACACTGCACAGAAACCCCACTGGACGATGACTACGAGCATCAAAATGTCTTCAATGACTTATCATTGCACACATTTCCCTGGGACAGTCTGCCGGAAACCGATGATGAAATATTTTGGACACGTTGCGCCCCAATGAAAGTTAATGAAGATGAGCTAATTATAGAGACGGAATCAAAAGCGACGCATTGAACCCAATATCAAAAAACAAGGAAATAGGTTTATATTTAAGTTTTATTATTATGTTTGTACATATAAGGTGCAATAAGATTTGTGTGCCCTTACAGGCTCATAAACTTGTCCATCTCTTTCTCATTCTCATCCTCTTTTTTTGCAGTCTGCTTCTTTCGAGCTTTAGCCCTCATCTTCTGTGATTTCTTCGCCTTTTTTCTCTGCGCCTCTCTATGAGCAGCGACTCTCCGGTTTATTGGCTGTCGTCGTGGTTCTTCAACTGGGACCTTATTTCGACGTTTCACTGCTATGCCTGAGGTCTTTATTGGAAATGCGCAGGGCAGCAGCTGCTGCTCCTCATGCAGCCGTCCGCAGAGAGTGTTCGAGATGGGCAAGTAGCTATTTTGGCTGAGAAAGCACTCATCACTGGGTGCGGTGGCCGTTAGCAGCTCGTGCAGCTTGAAACTCTGTGGTGGTGGCGTGGGCTCCTTGATGGGCTTACATAGTAAAAACTTGTCCTTGTACTTGACTGAATTTCGCAGCAAATAGTCCCCAGGTGGGATAGCATTGAATAGCTTAAGAAATTCGCACAGATGGGAGAGCAACTGAGGCATGCTCGTGTTGTAGTAGTCGTGCAGCATCTTTTCCAGCGAAACCAGTGTCAGCTTCTCCTCGAGCAGTGGCTCAAAGTCTCGCAGCGATACGCGACTGCAATGGCCGATCTCCGCTTTGAGGAGCTTCAAGTGCAGCCAAGCCTTGAGCAATTCGTACTTGGACATAATTTCGCAGCCGCAGTCTGGTTTGTTCTCCAGCTTGATGAAGTGGCAGCCGAGCGGTTCCGCTCCCTCCGCATCGCTCACACCTGCCAGCGATAAGCTGCTATACATTTGAAACTCTTCACTTGGTTCGGCATCATCATCACCCTGGGATCTTAGGCACCAGCTAATCATGGCAGTATTCGAGTTAGAAGGCTCTATGGCAGCAGATTCTATGTCCACTGGTTGGAGTTTATAGTCCATTTGCAGATCTACAGCTAATTCTTTAAATGAAGGTAGATCTGGGACGTCTTTAAATGAGCCATTCTGGTCAAACGTTAGCCACTGATCTTCTCCGGACTGCGCCCTGTACGCCTGATAGGCTTGCGTCAAAAGCAAGCCGCTTGTGTGCCAGCCGCAGTTGCGCGCCGGAAAGGGATCCTTAAATTCGAAACATTTGTGCTCACTCCCATATGTTTCCTTGACAGTGACCAACATTTCCGTGGGCAAATCCACATATGCACCGGTAGACAAAAGCATCATGAGCGATTCCAAGGGCAAAACGAAGATGTTGCCTTCATCCGGCTGTTCCAGCATCGGTATAGTTCGGTAGACGGTTTCTATGCCAGAAAAGCGACATAAGCGCACATTCAGGGTCATCAGTTCGTCTCGCTTTAGCTTCACCTCCGGCCACAGCCTTACCTGGCCCACAATCCGCTTCAGCTGCACCTCCTCCACACTTGCGGTTTGAGGATTGAGGCTGTTGCATTGGGCCAGCTGCGGCAAACCCGAGTACGTCACATAGGTGTCATTGGGAACGCCTTTCAGCAGCTGTTTCATTCGCAGCTCATGCCATATTCTATAGGCCTGAACAATCGACTTCATTGGAGCGTAGAGCAGCTCCCTCTGACTGGTTTCATAATCAAGTACATCTTTTTGGAACATTTGATACTCCGTGTGGCGTTTCTTCTCCGTGACACGCCATACCACAAAGTCGTCCTCCGGCACAGGGTCGTTGCGTTGCCATGCCAGAAGCACCCTCATACATGCCGTCTGCTGATGGCTTGTCAAGGCGGAATACTTCTCCCTAAGATTGGGAAATTTGTAAGGCAGCAACCGTCTTGAGTGGTCCCGTACGGATTTATTTGCAGTCTGTTGTGTGCGTGGGTCCTTGGGCGCCGAGTCGTTGCTGTACGATGTGAAAACCTCCGACGGCCCTTCCAGCTCTTGACTGAGCACCTCCGGTATGACTTCATTCAAGCATGTGTACAGGGTATCGTCCACATGCTCAAACGATTTGTTGAATACTTTATAGGAGGGTTGGTTGCGAAATATTGGGTCTCCTTGGTACATGCCCGGCTCCATGTCCTTCGAATCCAATAAATTTTGAAATTTCCGACATTTAAGAATGGTTTCGATAAGTTTATATTTTAGCAATAATTTCGATAAATTGCACCGCGACTTGTTAACACTGGACAGAAAATGGTAGTTTTGCACACTGCTGCCGCTGGTAAAAATATTCGGAAAAAAGTGGGGGGAAAACAATAAATAATACAGGAAATATGGTTATCACATAACGCAGCTAAACCGCAGCAGTTGCCACAATGAGTCTCAATCTGGGGGGCTGGATCCACAGCTTCACCGTAACGGACACGCAGCAGCACAAAGGAGGATACACCATTTACAAGATTACCTCGATCGTGAGTGTGGAAAATGGGGGGCAGAAAATGTGGTTTTGCTTAACGGCCTCTCTCTCATTACTAGGTTTTCCCACGGTCGGTGCCCCAAGCTCTCACTTGTCTGGTTGTGTGGAAGCGCTTTCACGAGATCAAGCGGCTGCACCGAGAGCTGAGTCGCCGGCACAAGAGTCTCCAGCTACCCGGCAAGCTGCCCGTGCCCACGGACAGCAGCTACTTTAAGCGCTTCGATGCGGTTGTCATCCAACGTCGCAAGGAATACATCCTGCAGCTGCTGGATTTTGCGGCTCAGCATCCCGCCCTCTACAAGTGCAGCACCTTCACCCACTTCTTCAGTGAGGCGCACTCGCCGAACGGTTCCCCCTTGAAGAAGCTCTATGTGGAGCGCTCTTTGAAACTCAAGACCACTGGGGACACTGATTGTAGCTGCAGTGGAACAGGAGCTGGCAGCGTGACTGAGCCGGGGGCAGGAGCCATAGCTGACATTTGCGATAAGCTTGATCTGCCTTATGATCCGCACAACGCTGGCGGCATCTTGCCATTGGATCCGCGATGCGATAAAGAGCAGCAGCAGCAGTCTCTAAGCTGCAACGATGAACCGGACGCCAAGGAAGCCAAAGCCGAGACAGACGCCGAGTCAGAGCCAAAGACAAAGCCGGATGAGGGGCAGGCCAAGCGGGACTACCTACGACTACTCACGCCCATGGCCTCCATCGAGAGCGATGACAGCGACTACATCTACGAGGCGGCTCTGGAGTTCAGTCACGCCGTCCAGGCGGAGGTGAATCTCGAGTACGCCGAGGCACATGAGCGCTACAAGCACGGCGTGGATCTGCTGCTCGTCGGGGCCAAGCACGACTCGAACGAAGAACGCAAGTTCATAGCCAAAGCGAAGATATCAAAGTACCTGGCACGCGCCGAGGAGATACACGCCAACTTCCTGGCCAACTCCGCCAAGAAACTGCACTTCCAGCTGTCCTTGGATATGGCAGACAGCACGAGTGTCGCGCAACTTGAGTGCTCCTGGAACCAGCTGGCCAAGTATAAGGTGGTGCAAGTTCTCGACGAGCGGGTGATGCAGGTGCAGTGCATCACCGAGCCCCAGCAGCCGGCGGCCATAATGAAGGGCATTGAGAAGCCGGCCAGCCACTCGCTCACCCAGAGTATTTTCCTGCCGCAGCAGGTGCCTTACATGGCCCAGTTGTTGGCCTACTTTCAGTCGGACCAGAAGATCTTCCTGCTGCTGAGGCAGGCCGAGGGTGGACGCCTGTACGACTATCTGCAGAGCTACACTCCCACGGGAGCCAAGACCATCAACTATGGCGAGCTTTTTCCAGCGGACAAGGAGGTGGAGCAGGAGCAGCCCCTCACCGCCGACAGCGATGTCAGCGATCTAGTGCGTAGCTCCCAGCAGCTGCTCAAATCGGTTTCCCATACCCTCAGCAATCTGCAGGCCGGCGTTCTCACGCCCAGGCGACAGAAGGCGGCTGCAGCTGGGGTCCATGTCCGTGTCCTTCCCGAGCAGTGCCTGCGGCAGTGGGCCTGCGAGCTGGCCATAGCCATCCACAGTCTCCACGGCAAAGGTGTGATTCTGCGGGATCTGCACATGAACAACATCCTGCTGGGCTCCAAGGGGCAGCTACTGCTTACGTATTTTTACCAAAACGAAGGCCTCAGCTCCGACGACAGCTATGTGCACAAGGCTTTAAGCCTGGAGGCCATATCGAATCATTTTGTGGCCCCCGAGCGACCTCTGAGTTTCCGCTCCGACTGGTGGAGCTATGGTGTGGTGCTCTACCAGCTTCTGCTGGGAGTGGTAAGCATTGTCATTCCTCATTGTGAATCTCTTCCTAATGCTATTTGCTTTCGTTAGCCCTACAAGTCCACGCATCCTGGCCAACTAGAACTCTATGGTTGTGTGCAGTACCCCAGCGAATCTCTGGACATCTCTGATCATGCCCGTGACTTGTTGGAGCAGCTGCTGCAGCTTAGTCCGGAGCTGCGTCTGGACTATGAGCAGCTGCAGGGGCATCCCTTCTTCAAGGGCATCGACTGGCAGGCGGTTCTGAAAAGTGGCATATAAGGACACGATAACGATGGGACCTTTTTGTTTGATGAATCTTTTCAATATTCGAAATATTCTTTTAGGGTCCTTCTTTCAAAGGTACTCTGTGTAGTTTTCCAATGTATTATTTTGTTATCTCGTATATCAAGCACTTGTTTCTTCTTATTTAATCAATTTTTAAAGAACAAAGCCTTTAGTGGCTAGTATTCTTATGCTTTGTTTTATAGTTTTAGCTTGGTTTTTTTTGGTACAAAACACGCTTTATTTAAGATCTATTATATACAGTTGCGGAATGTTTTAAAGTATTGCTTACGAATATAGAAATTTAGGCCAAGATACAGGCGTATTTATGTAATAATTTTGATATACAAAAATGGTACGAGTACGATTATGGATAAATTAGTAAGTAATAATCTTTGTAAAGCCAAATGAGCTAAAGTAGTATATAAAAAGCATTTTATTGTCTAACTACACAACAGTTTTTGGTTTAACTTAGGGCTAGGCTATGGCTAAATTTGTTTTTGGGGACGGACGAGCTATCTGTAGCTCTTCCGTCGCCCGTAAGGCACATTTGGAATGCATTCTGGGGGGTACGGGGACACCCCCTGGGGACTAATCCTACACTTACGACTAAACAAAAACTGCATTAAGTTTTGGCAAGACTTGTTGATTCTGTTGTTGTTGCAACTTACGAGACGACACCTAAAGACTAAAAGGAACCTATGGCATATATGAAAACATTAGCTAGGACTTTTCGAAAACCACAAAAATACCAGAGTTTTGGTCTTTTCAGTCTACTAATATTTGGTATCTTTTCGTATGGTATTTTCTGGTGTCCACACGTGTGAATGGGGCCCAATTTACAGTTAGAAATGCTGCACACACACACACTTTCAAAATGGCCGCCGGAAGCGTGCTGCGCTTTGAGGGTGGGGCGGAGCCCAGCGTCGATGTTGCTGCTGGTGCTGCTGCAGGCGACGGTGTGTGAGCATTTCCCTTAGTGCAAAAAAGGCGGCAGGACGTAGCTCTGTGCCTGCTGCTGCTGTTGCTGCTGCTGGGCCGACTCCTCGCTCTTGATCACAGTCTGCAGTCCGCTGTCGTTGTCATCGCTGCTGCCACTTCCGTTGCCTGTCCCTGCCCCCGAACCCGCTCCCGTGGTCACGTAATGCTGCGTCTGAGCCTCCACCAAATGGCAGTTGGAGCCGGGACTCAGCTCGAGGCCCGTCGATGATTGATGGCACTGCAGATGCACATACTTGGCCTGCTCCGCGCTCAGATATTTCCCATTCAGCTGCGCCTGCTGCTGCTGCTGCTGCTGGTGCGGATCGGCGTGATCAGGAATGAGGGTGACCAGCGTTCCGTCGGCCATCTGCTGTTGCGTAGCCTGCAGCTCCGCTGCCTGGTAGCTTCCATTACCATTGCCTGTCGCCTCCTCGCCTCCGGACACACCCGTCACGGAGCCAGTTGTGGCGCCCATTTCCATGCGACTGGGACTGCCGTAGTCAAAGTGTCGCATGGGAAAGAGCTGGCTCTCGTGCACATAGGTGCCGTACTGGCCGGAGTAGGTGCCATAGGGGCTCGCCGCTGGCGACAGCAGGCTGAACTGCGGTGTCAGCTCGTAGGGTGTCTGGTAGCTGGTCCAGCTGTCCATGCTACCCGGCGGCGTCACGGTCGTCGTCTGCGGATAGCTGGTGAAGGGTGGAGCCAGGCTGCTGTTCAGCGTTGCCGTCGGCGGAGTGCTCGTCTTGATGTAGCCCGTCTTGCGTGGTGGCTCGTGCTTCCGCCACTTGGCGCGACGGTTCTGAAACCACACCTGCACCCGGGACTCGCTCAGATTCAGCTTGATGGCCAGCTCCTCGCGGGCAAACACATCCGGATAGGGGGCACGCTCAAAGGCGCGTTCTAGTTCCTCTAATTGATAGGCTGTGAACGTGGTTCTGCAATCGAATAGAGGACAAAAATCTACGGATTAGATATAGTCTTGAGGCAAATGCGACGAGAAAGTAGGGATATATAGCAGATTGTACTAAAGGATAATCTAACGAAGATCTATGAATCAATTAGAGTTCAAGGAAGCTTGAAGATTTGAATACTTAGAAGTTTGGTCTCTTTTTAAAGAGTTCCTTACACATCAGGAACACATTTGCTATAATTAACCCCCCAAAGATTGTCTCCTGCTTATTTCCCTTTTAGTTTTTTATCTACCATTACGCATACGCCCCGTGGCTCTGGCCCATAAATAGTGAAAATTATTATCAGGGGGCCACATAACATCATTGATTTCCCGTCGTTAAATTAATTGGAATTGCAGGATATCAGAGAGAATGGATGGGGGATGCTTACCTCGTTTTCTTCTTCTTGATGCCATTGGGATCGCCCTTCTTTTTGCTGCTGCTGTTTCCGCCGTCCTTCTTGGGCGCGGCGGCAGCAACACCTCCAGCAGCGCCCACAACTGTGACCGAGGCGCCCTGGCCCCCAGCAGAGACATTTGCACTTCCATTGGGCGTCCCGCCATTGCTGATGCCCGACGAGGAGGTAGCTGGTGGTGTAACGCCCGAACCACCCGCATCCTGCATCTGGCCGCACATTTCGTCGGGCTTCTTGAGCTTGCCTCCGGCCGAACCAGGACCGCCGTTGATTAGCACTGGACTGGAGTCCTGGATCAAGCCATCGGAGTGCTCCAAGTGGTCCAAGTGGTGATGCGGACTACCGCCGTACAGATGCTGCAGTTGGGGATGCTGCTGGGACTGCGGTTCGTACTGGTCCTTGGGCGAGTAGTCGAGCTTTCCGTTCAGCGGATGGTAGTCCATGATCCCCACCAGCTGCTGCTGATGTTGGTTTGAGGATGTCTGCTGCTTGTGATGCAGGATGCCATTGTGGCTGGGCGGTGGCGTGACGGCGTAGTGCTGGTGGTGATGGTGTTGCTGCTGCTGGTGCTGCTGATGCTGATCCACCAGCTTGTACTCGTACTTCTGGCTGGGCGAATAGCATCCAATCTTATTGCCAAAATCCAATTTCGGAACATAGTTGGGAGATCCTCCGCCACCGCTCACGCCTCCCCCGCCGCCGTTTGGCAGTATGGTGTTGCAGTCGGGCAGACGCTGCTGTGGCTGCTGCTGGCTACACAGCTCGTGGACACTGCCGAGCATAACGGGATGCATTGCCGTCGAGGTGGGCAGAAGGGGCTTGGCCCCCAGGGGATTGAGGGGGCCGCCGCCAAAGTCCCCGAAAATCGGATCATCAAAGCTGTCATGCTCCATCCTGCTCACTCGAATCGAATGCACTTTCTCACACACACACACACACACACACGGACACAAAGCCACAGACACAGAGATCCGTTTTATTATTAAGCTCAGCTTAAAGGAGCTTTTTCAATCCGAATTTTCGAACTTCGAATTTGATCGAATCAAATATGGCTGCTTTGCCTTTGATTTGTTTTTTAGTTAAATTAACTTTTGGCTAAAACATTTCTCTTTGGTTGGACTTTTTTTAAATTTGTTTCACACTCCTTGAGCCTCTCTCTCTCGGTCGTCGCCGTGGTCGTGTTGTCAACCGCTCAAGTCTTGGCCTTAATTGAGTCCGCTACTGGCGATGATTGCCCTTTTATACCGGCGCGACTGGCAGCGCCGCTGCAGCGTCGGCAGCGACCAATCCGGTGCCGCCAATGGCCGACATTCCCCTGCCACCAGAGCGAGATAGCGAGAGAGCTGGTCCCGGTGGGCACCAGAGTGCGTTTCATGCTGGCGCGTGTGACTTTTCTGCGCCTTTGCTTGGTTCGGTTTTGGGGTGTGGTTTACTCTTCCCACCCGCTGCTACTGCTGTTGCTGCTGCTTCTCCTACTGCTGCTGCTGCTGCTGCTCTGGACTGGGTAGAGCTGCTTGTGTCCAGTTTCTGGGACCGACCCGACCCGCCACGGAATGCTACCAGCAGATCTCCGACAGCTTCGACGGCACGGGTGATGAGTCCTGGGAAAGGCATTTTAGTGGGAACAGAGGACCTATTGCTCTTAGAAAGGTTTCTTTAAGGATTGTATAGGTTTTTCATGGATATGATGGATGGTGAAAAAGAATCCGTTGGGATAGCATTAGAATATGGAAACTCTAAAAGAAATATTTATAATATTACTTCTAAGGGGTAGTATAGGGTTTAAAGAGTTCTTTAAAATGATTTATATTATCATCTAATAAAATTATTTTATTCCAAGCCATAATCATTATGAATATTCTATATATTATTATCTCGTACTATCTGGAACTCTAAAAAGAGAACCTAAAACAACGGAAAATTCTCTCTATAGGCTGCTAGCTTCCCAATAAGAGAGGTATTTTCCCTTTCCAACTAAAACTTTATCGCCCTGTGGTCGGTCATTCATCCATCAACAATCCACCTACATGGTCACACATGTTGAGCCAACAATTAACTTCCCCTCCAACCAACAGATTACCTCATTCTCTCTGCAAAGGAATGCGCATAGCTGGATACACAGAGAAAGAGAGAGAGAGAGAGAATTCCAATTGGAGATGCATTCATGAGGGTGAAGCGAAGCCTGAGGCATCGAATCGTTGCAACCCCCGTGAAGGATCCTCTCCTCATTGCCTGGCACGCTCGCGACCTTCGTCTCTTCCCAAGAGCGCGTGTCACCCTCAGAGCCAATATCACTCTTGTGCCCTCTGAAGGACCGGCTCACTTTTGGTTATGCGTGTGCGACCTTTTGGCTAGATGCTGGTACTTGGCTAGAGGTACCAGAGGTCAGGGCGGGGGAACTTAGTCAGCGCTAAGTTATGGGTCATTTGGCTAGAGGTAAAGATTTCACGGGGAATTTGCATGGGACAGAGGGAAGAAGTCTGAATCATGTGGGCAGGCAGGCACAGGAGAAAGAGGGTGGAGGATAAATGTGGGGTATATTGATACATGGATATGAAGGTAGAAAACTAGGGATCTTATGAGGAACAGAAGAAGAAAGATCTTAGAAAGATCTCTTAAAATGCTTTAACTCTTGGAAACTCTCAACAAATTTACGATCCATACAAAAATTATGCATAAATATGATTTTAGAAAAAAAACTTTAAATAATCTTTATCAAAGGTAATCCACTTTCAGAAACCGCTTCAAAAAATCCCATAGTCTTACTGGTGTCCCAATAAAATGCTGAAATCCACCCATCGGACAAAACCCGCATAGATCTTGGCAACAGGACTTCCTTGCTTCCCATGATCCCCCCGGTTGAAGGATCAGCAAATTTTTTCCCATCATAACGAAGAAAACCCATCGAATTCCAAACAGAAACTACACAAAAATCTCTCTCTCACAGTGCCAGAAACCGAGCCCGAAGCCGAACAATTCGATACTTTTTGTCGATTTGCAGGTCTTGAAAATGCGGGCAACGCAACGGAAACGGAACCATGAGGAGGCATGAGAGAGAATGGACTTAGGGCACGCGATCAGAGCGGAGCGCAAGATGAAAACAAATAAATATTGTACACCCCATGCTGTGGGTCGCGACCCAGTCCAAGTCCCGTTCCGTCCCTGTCAGAACGGGAGGGATGTGTGGCATGCGATGGGTAGGGTCGGGCGGGGTGGGGAACTCTTGTTGCGTGTGAATAATCAGACAATATTTTGCATTAGCCAGTGCGCCAATTATGTGGGCTTGAGGATTGAGTGGCTGCAAGGACATGCGGGGGGGGTTTGGGATGGGATGTCTTGATCCCGCAGAGCAAAGAAGTCAAACGATGATGATGGCATCTTGGATAAGATCAAAAGTTAATTACGATTGACTCTTGAACTGAAAGTGGTTGAAATCTATAATCAAGGTAATCCGAACAAAAAGGTACGTAGATGGGGAGAGGATTTGAGGGATCTGAATGATCTTGATGAGATATATCTTGTATTTCATGAGACTCATTAGGATGCCAACCTAGAGCCCCTTTTAAGACGACTTTAAACCTCTGTATTTCATATATGTTTTCTTTCAGCTTCATCTATGGAAAATACAAGCAGTACTTGGTACAGTTGTCGCTGTTCAAGCAAAGTGAGCGCCTAAGCTTTTGTTGAATATATTTTTTCATATTTTGTCCATAACCATTAAGAAAATACACACACAGAGCCAGAGAGACAGATACTCAGACCCATCATCATCACCAGCAAAAGCTGACAGTCCATCCTCCAGTCTATTCCCCAGCGAAAAAACATATTCTCATCCCATCCCATTCTCAGTGGCGACATTATCACCATTGTATTACGATATGAACGGAGACAGTCACGACTTTTTGTTATGCATTTCTATATCTACATACATACATATGTACATACATATATAGTATAGTACATGTATCCAATGTTTTTCCCTGCCCATTCGTTTTGGTTTGGTTCGGCGATTGTGATCTCTGCTGCTGCTGCTGCTGCTCGGTAGCCTCCGGCCACAACAGAATTCCAATATGGCGGGCTCTCAAGCTCAGACACGCACACAGGCAAGCACGGACATGCACAAGATCGTGTCAGAGTCCAGCGGGAGCAGTAGGCATCCCACCAATACCAGAGCAACCAATTAAGCTTCGTTAAGATCAATTTAAAATCCCGCATAAAATATCAAATAGTTTTTGTATTTTAGTTCCATTTCTGCCACTGCTGGCGCGCTATTTGTACTGTTCTCGCTCTTTCAGGCAGAAGAAACAAAAAGAAATACAGAATTTCGAAATCTACTGCCCACAAGTCCACAGCCGAGACAATGTCTGCAAGTCGACTCGGACTCGGACTCGGACTCGGATTCGGTCTCGGTCTCGGACTGGAACCCGTGTCTGCTTTGGCTCTGGCTCTGGCTCTGAAGATGTATAGTGTTTCTGGTTTTTTTTTTTTGTTTCGTTAATTCTACATGGCACTTTGGGGTCCGGGTCCGGGTCCACACTTGCCTGGTACTTTACTTACTACTTACCCCCTTTACATGATGATGATACCACCGTCGCGACGGGGGGAATGGGGATGGTGAGACGTATCTGACATCTGACCCAGACGACGAGCGACGATCACAAACGTCGACTCAAATTGTTTTATGCATTTTGCTTTCCATTCTGTGCTTCTTTATGATTTTCTGCCATCATTTACATGTGATTTTTTTGGGACTGACTGTACCAGAAGTTTTGAATGAAAGAATTGTAGTCTGGGCTCTGCAATTCCTTAAGAATATTGTGTACAACATCAGAATATCGCCATATAAGGTAAAGAAGTAATGGTCTTCTGGTCTAATCGATTGATATTATTATCTGTAATACACATCTTTATCTAATCCTTCTGAACTCCTCCTCCTCTCGTATGGAGCTTTCCCCCTGCCACACCCACTTAACGTCGCCCCCACCAATTAGCCCACAAAAAGCTTAATGCAATCAAAGTGAAAGTGAGCAAAGACGCCAATAAATTAAAGCCAATCACAATCGGACAATTGCTATCGCCATAACACATACGAGTATTCGTACTCGTATAGAGCGCGAGGCGAGACCAGAGATAACTGAAGATGTCAACCGCTTGGGCTTCGGCCTGGGCCATGTAATTGGCTCTGGGTCTTGTCGATTCACAAAAATCGCAACACAGTACGCGTAATTCAAATTAATTGCCGACAATTGTGACTTATTTAAGGCAAAGGCGCCATTTAATGCAGTCAAAACGGGGCAGGAGTGGGGGCCAGAGTGGGAGATGATCGCGGCTGATCATTTCCAGAGACCAATTTATGGGTTTATTGAAACCGATCCTCATTGTATTAATACTTTTGAATCTGGCCGTAAAGCGCGGCTTAGTATGGGCGGTGCTACCATATGGTTTTTTTATAAGCTTTAAGCCGCTCGGCGATCGATAGGCACAGGATTGCATTGGAAATTCAATTGGAATTGAAATTTGAATTTATGAATGAGCTTGTCAATCTTTATGTGTGCTAAAATTTAATAAATTAATTGCTGCAGTCGGCCGTGGCATTGTAGTGGGCGTCGCTTATCGTTTTTGGCGTTGCGCGCCTGTGCGCCGACCTAATTGTTTGTAATTAAATAAAATTGTTCAAGGTCGATTACAGTGGCAGTGGCAGCCAGTCAAGCAGGCGCTTGGGCGCTGGTAAATCCATGGATTCCAATTTGTTTTAATATAAAATGCCGGCCGGCAATTTAATTTGTATTGTACGTACAAGTGTAGTACGTGTGGCGTCTGGAAATTGATTCCTGCTCATTATTTCATTAAGAGAACTCTCGGCCAATTGGCCAGACCAGAAGAAGAACCGAGCCGAGTCCGAGTCCATGTCCGTCCGAGAGCTGCGCCTGGCCTATCCAATTGTCTCTGCGCCGCGGCATTTGAGTGCTTGCTCGGTGATTTTCGCTTGCAGTTTGATTTGATTTCATGAATGGAATTGTATCAATTGATTGTTTTGGTCTTGTTATCGTTGCCTTTTGATCGTCGATAATTAAGTCGGGGGTGTGTTTGGTCTCGTCCCTCCCTCTCGCGGCTTCTGGGAGTCTGAAAGTCTTCGTTTATTGATGGTGGCTAAATAGATTAGAATTATTGAAACTGGGCTCGGTCTCGTCTGCATCGTCTGTGGCTTAATGAACAAAATCAAATTGTCTAATAGTAATCCAATTGACTTGATTTCAGTTGGTGGCAAGCGTTTTAATTGATGGAACAAGTGCAAATGATTTTACAGGGAGTGTTTCATCTAATTGAAGCCAGTGATTGATAAATTTCTGAGAAATAAATCTACTAAAGACAGTTTAAGGAAATTTCAACATTTGAAAGAATCGATTGGCATCAGAAAATATCGATTGTCATTTGCGGAAATAAAAGCTCACCTAACTAGCCGTTATTATTACCCAAGCAATTTCTTTTCGAATCATTTAACACCGATCTGTGATAAACAGCATGCAAACATCTTCCAGAAAACATCATAATCCATCTATCCGTATATTGTTTGCTAATTGAATGCAAAGGTGCGAATAGATTGAAAATTACTGAATAATAATAGCGTGTTATCCATTATCAAAGGAAAAGATCATATGCTCCAACTAAAGACCAAAAAAATTCCACCATCTCCTCTATAATAAAATATTTATACCACATATGTATGTATGTATGTACATATAGAAAAATCGAATAAGAAATTCCGAAATGCGTACGCACTGGAGGAGCCAAGACAGAACGATGGGACGGTCGCTGGAGGGAGTTATGGCTGCGGAAGGGGCGAGGGAGAGAGCATGACATGCGGGCAGTTCTAAATTGATCTTAACGAAGCTTAATTGAGTGCGCATGTATGGGTGTGTATGTGAGAGCATTGTGTTTGTTTGAGAGAGAGAGAGAATGAGAGGAAAAGAAAGCAGTGAGCATTGCCAACACTCGTTAAAATCGAACGGTTGCAATGCCAATCTATCGAGCAGATTTTGGAGAAAGTTTATTCGAGCTTATCGAATAGGAGGACAGTACAGATAAGATCCTCCCCAAACCAATTATCCTTACAATCAAATATCCAATTTCATAGTTTGTTTATTTCAGATATCAACAGATTGCATTGCTTACGACACACAGAGCGCAGATCTGGCTAATCTTTGCACACGCTAAGCGTTGCACACTTTTCCAACTTAAAAAGAAAGATTTGCTAAAAGGGAGTATGCCAATCCGGTGGTTTGGACACAAGACACAAAGGCGCTAATGAAGTACACAATCAAGGGAATTCGTGGGATGGATGGATGTATGCTGGTTCCTAGGCGTTGGCAAAGTCAATGCCCTTCTGGATGTTCTTCTTTAGCTCGGGGATGGCGGCCTCCAGCAGCTTCTTCTCGTAGTCATTGAGCTTAGGCAGACCCAGGTTCTCTTTCAGACCTGACTTGCCCAGCACCAGAGGGGTGGAGAAGAAGGTGGCCTCCGTGATGGTCGACTGCACATAGGAGCACTCGATAACGTTCTTCTCGCCGTTGAGGCCCTTCAGCAGGGATCCAGCAAAGCGGGCACCGGCATAGGCCATCGAGAGGGTGGCTGAACCGGCTCCAGCCTTGGCTTTGACCACCTCAGTGCCGGCCTCCTGGATGCGCACCGTTAGCTTCTCGATGACGTCCTGGCTGCCCTTGAACAGAGGCTGGCTCTGGGACAGCACGGGCAGAATGGTCACACCCGAATGGCCGCCGATCACGGGGATCTGCACTGTCTGTGGATCAACATTCAGGGCATGGCCGATGAAGGCGCGGGCACGCACCACATCCAGGGTGGAGACACCGAACAGACGATTGGGATCGTAGACACTAGCCTGGGGAGGAATAAAAAACAGAGGGGATTGGATAAGCTAATGTTCTCTCTTGGTAATGGGACCCACCCACGCATCATACCTTCTTAAGGATCTCGGCAGCAATTGGCACGCAGGTGTTCACGGGATTCGTGATGATGGCTATCAGGGCCTTGGGGCAGTTCTTGGCAATGGAGCTGGCAATGTCCTTGATGATGCCGGCGTTCACGTTGAACAGATCATCGCGGGTCATGCCCGGTTTGCGGGGAACTCCAGCGGGAATGACAACCACATCGGAGCCTGTATGGGAATAAGATATGGAAAGGTGCTTATTGATAATCTGCTGACACTTTGAGCTTTGCGCTTTTTTATGGGCTGCAATCCACGCAGGCTACTGCTGATAAGTGGGCTGCTTTTGATTACGTAGTTATATATACCAATAGTCGTTCCCCGGTTCTACTATCTTATCACAGAGCATGATTTTTGAAGCACTCTCCATGCAAATACCCAACAAGCATACTCTCCCTCCCCCCCGCTCTGCTCATGTAAATTTTCAACTGGGAGCTACCATAACCTCACTTGCCGCCCTCTACTCACCCTTCAGGGATTCGCCCAGCTGGTCGGCGCCCATGAATCCGACAGTCTTGCTCTTGGTGTCAATGTGGGACAGATCGGCGGCCACACCGGGTGTGTGCACAATGTCGTACAGAGACAGATCCGTGACCAGGGGATTCTGCTTGAGCAACAGCGACAGAGGCTGGCCAATGCCGCCGGAGGCACCACAGACGGTCACTTTGAAGTTGTTCTGAGGAGGGGGTGGGGAAAAATCAAGAGCAGAAGAGCATTAAAATCACTGGGAAACTGCAGCGATTGGGTTGAAGATAATTAGAGGCACTGCACTTTGCCTTTCCGGTGTTGCATTTTCTGCTATTACGTAAACAGGTCGCAGCCAGATTTCTAGGTTTATTTGTGTTTTGGAATACGCTCTTACCTGCTGGCTGACCGAGAAGTTGCGCACTCCCTGGAGGGCCAATTGCCTGGTTACTTGCTTCAACATTTTCGGATGATTTTTTTATTAATAAATATTAAACAATCAAATTAGCAACACCACCAGCGAAATCCCAAGAGCCAATGGAGTAAGAAGCTTTCGCGAAAAGCCACGCAAAAGCGCAAGCTTCTGTGGGTAGCGGGTTCGGTGGCTGCCTGCCTGCTGGTGGTGGTGGTGGATCGCCCTGCCAACTTGAGTCGTGGCGCCATTCCAACATTTGAGCTTTTATTTAAACTTAAGCTTTTGTTCGTTTAACGCACATCGAGATTAAATGAAGTAAAACTTCAATGGTTAATACATTTAAAATTGCTGCATATGATAATCCACTTGCAGGGCTATGCAGGCCCCTGACGCTGCTCTCCTCTCCTCTTCTCTTTCAGCTTTTTGTTCGTTTAACGCACATTGAGATTGAACAGGGATTAAAACTAGACTGGTTAATACATTTAAAACTGCTGAAGGCGCAACTCCACTTGCAGGGCTATGCAAGCCCGACGCTCCTCCTTCAGCTCTTTGCCCAGCATTTGCTTCTTGTGCTCCAGCAGTGCATTCTCCCGCTTATAGTGCTCGATTATCCGCTCGTAGTCGGCCTCCTTTGGAGGCTGCGCCCCGGCGGCCGCTTGATGTTTGAGCAGCTGCTTCTCGCACAGCTTATTCAAGCGATAGACTTCGTTGCGTTCGGCCTTAATGCGTGCTTTAAGCTCATTCTGCAAGGCCATCAGCTCATCGTATTCTATTTGAAGGCGTAGCAGCTCTTCGCGATGGGGATTCGTCTCGGGCAACAGGACAAAGCCGGACTCTCTGTCTATGGTGTACAGCGGTGGGCTGGGACTTGATGAATGCTCCTCGTTTCTGTGCACTTGAATGCAGTCAGACACGTCTATATTGTGGGTGACTGGACTGGAACTCGATGCCCGCCTGCCTGGCTTGTGTTCTTCTGTGCTGATGGTTGTTACCGTGGAATTGGGGGGAGCTGGTGGCTGATTATTGGAGTCGGTGATGTCTTCGCCTACAGGTACGGGAACGACCACAGGTGCAGTCGCAGTTACAGGTACAGGTTGAATAACGCTGCCGTCTAGCTCTTCGATGGATTTCTCCTGCTTCTTCTCGAAGCTGCGCAATTTTCGCTTCAACTGTGTGATGATGCGCTGCACCTCCCAGAGCTGCTCCTCGCGCTTCTTGGTGATGAACCCTGCATTCATTTCGCTGTGTATTTGGGCCAGAAGACTGTCCTGCTTCCGCAGCTCCATTTGGATGTCCTCCGGGTCCTCCGGAAGCTTGGAAGCCGCAGTGAGCGGCGGTACATATCTGCAAGAGAGTCAAGCTACTTATAATGCTCATAAAATTGATTGGATAATCTCGGAATGAGTATCTGCCTGATTAGGAAGCTGACGAGGCGCGCCAAGCGCTTCTGTTTATGGGGCACCAAGCTCGTCATGCTCGTCAACCAACTAATCAGTGGAGATTCGAGGCTGCACTAAAGGTTGCTGCCACTGTGAATCTTATCTCGATTTAAGCGTGTGTTTGCTTACGGTATCAGCTGGATGTCCGCAAAGAGAAGGCGACAGTGACGGAGAAGCGCCACCATCAGTTGCGCCGACATCTGGAGCGTTGGGCTCAGTAGCACGGCAATCGACTCGTGGTTCAGTTTGTTGTACCTTTCCTGATCGGTCACCGCATAGAAGTGGAGCATCACCCAACCGACCAGGGTTCGATTGCACTTGGGCACCTGTTCCATCAGCTGCTGTAGCCCAATCCGCTGCTCTTTGCCCTTTTGATGCCTGGCAACGTCCTCAAAATCGTACATCAGATCGGTGGTCAGCATTGGCTCCGGCAGATCGCGGAGATACAGCTTCAGGAGACCGCAAGCTAGTGGAACGTTGAATAGATTCAACGCCTCATCGTGTTCCCGGTTGTTGTAGAGCCGCTTCAAGTGGAGGAGCTCCGCCTTGATGGGCTCAACCTTATAGATGACAAAGTTGTGTGTTTGCTCCTGCAAGTAGTCGATGCAGTCCCGCACAACCATCGGCAGATCGATGCCGTCGTGGCAGCGCGATCTCTCAGTGGCCAGACTGACGGAGACCCCGAATACGGGACAGCCCATTGCCAAGTCTTCCTCCTCGGCATCCTCGTCCTGCTGCTGCGACAGCTGCTTGCTCTTCTTGTCCTTTTTGTCTTTCTTCTTGTCCTTCTTCTTGACCTCCTTCTCATCGTGGCGCTCTCGCTCCTTGTCTTTGTCCTTATCTGTATCCTTTGCTTTGTGCGCCGGCTCCTCCACGGACTTTTCCTTGTCGCGCGATTTTTCACGCTTCTCCTTGCTCTTGGAGCTGACAAATTTGAATGTTTTGGATTTCTTTGATTTCGAGGGACTCCTGCAGAAGTGCGCCAAGGATTAGTTCGATTCTGGTCAGGCTAAAGGGATTACCTACTTTGTTTCCAGTTCTTCTTCGGGCGAACTCTCGCCCTCGAGCGCTGCATAGCCACGATCCTTGCCTTTATCTTTCTTGTCCTTTCGCCTGCCTATAAGCAGGTCCTTTTTGTTATGCTCATGGTCCTCGTCGACTGCAAAGACCCCGTGAATTGATTTTCCGGCGTTTGGATTCACCCACGCATTGCATTGCAGCATACTTACAATCGCTCTCTTCCTTGCTCTTCTTGGACTTGGAATCGGCTGCCTCCGCGGCGTACAGGCCGGGAAACTCTTTCTCTTCAGGACTATCAAACTCCATGCCTCAATGTTCCTCTTTTGCCCTAATAAATAAACAATTTCTATTCACAAACAAGAAATGCAACAGTCGCCTGCTGTTGTGTTGTTGCTGTCGGGCCTGCCCACTTCTGTACACTCTGCAACACTGCAGTTGCCCAACACTAGCTGTTCACCGCACAAATTCTGTCTTTCCTTTTTGTTTTTAACAATTAATTGTTGTACAATTTATGAATAATTGTACGAGAAGGCCGAGAAATACATTTAAATAGCATTCTATTTAAATTTAGTGTGTCCAACAATCTCTATAAGTACCAAGGTGTGACTGAATCTCTATGACCAGAGGACAAACAGATGCAGAGGTGAGGATGGAGAAGCAATTTTCCTGGCATTTGGAATAATTCTTTGACTTGTAGTTTAAATTAGCTCCGTCATGAGCCTGTGCCTAAATCCTTACATGGTCCTGAATCGCAACTTTTGATGGTATGCATTTACCTAATCCCGATTGTGATTAATTGATCCATTCTCCCGTGTGCTTTCAGTTAAACTCTTTCGAAATGTCTTCGTTACGACTGAACAAACAGCAAAAGGATCACCTGGCGCTGCTGCAGCGCCCAGCCAGCGATGTCGTGGAGTTGTGCAAGTCGGCCTTCGACTATCTAATCAACGGACCCAATGCCAGCCGCTACGAGACGCTGGCCAAGAAGTACTCGGCAGATGCCGTGGACAGGGAGGCAGTGCAGCGGACAGTGGAAGCCTTGATATCGCTTTTGATCAGCGTAACCACCCGCGTGGGTGGCACTGGCGTAGACATGCGGGCAATTCTGCGTCAGACATTCCCCGATCTCAGCGACGATGTTTTGGAGGTGCTGGAGCAGTTTGTGACGAGCAAGCGGAACTTTGTGGAGGGATCGATCAAGTCGGCCAATATACGCGCCTATCGGCTGGTCAACCTAGACTGGCGACTGGAAGTGCGCACAGCATCGAGAACACTGCTGGAGCAGTGTAGTGTGGTTATCACCATGAAGCTCTACCTGCACAGGGAGCCGAAAAACGAGAACCGAGAGCTGCTGGAGGTGGACGATTCAGGACGCAGCGAGCAGGAGCTGGCGGCCATGCAGGAGGATGAAAGACGCCATCGCAAGGATCTGCTGGTTCAGACCGATATCAGTAGTCTGCTGTACATGATCAAAACACTGGAGGACGCCCTTTCCGAGTCGAAGACGCGGCGCATCCGCAACATAGTCGAAGGCATACATTGAAGTCCCAATACTCGAAGTAGTTTCAACGCTACTTTAATCTGGACCAATTTATTACAACTAAAGCTAACTATAAGATAGAAATGGGTCTTACGATCGTTGTTCAATGGGATGCCGCCAAAGCCTCGGCTGCGGCAGCCTTCAAAGCCACCTTTTTCTTCTGGCGATTCTCCTTCTTTTCCTCGGGCGTCTTCCGCAAAGCCTTCACGCGACGTGTCTGAATGGAGCCCGTCAGCTGTTTGCCCATATGCACACGTCCCTTCGTGTTTCCCATGGCGTCCGTGCTGATGTTTTTCTTTTTGCCCACCTTGAGCTGCTTGGGCTGCTTGCGTGCCTGCTTGTAGAGATCCTCGGAGGCAATTTTTGTGCGGCGTATGACAAAGTCTGCCGAGGGTCCAATCTCCTCCAGCTCAATTCGTGGCGTTTTCTGGCCCGACTTCTTCAGCAGGATCTTGTAGGAGCGCATTAAGATGTTCATGTTATCGGTTACCGTGAAGCTCATCACATGCTCGACGCCCTGCAGCCGTATGGAATCGACCTTTTCACGGTGAAAAGTGTCGATGAACAAATTGCGTAGACGCCTTAATTCCTCCGTTTGCGACCATTGGGGTCCATTGAAGACCAGGCAGGGCTTAACACAGGCGCCGATCTTCTCGTTCATGAACTCGGAGATGGCCTTATATTGCTTAATCCCCAACTCGAACATGTCCAGGACTTCGTTCTCATAGAGTCGGCCCAGAACGATGTTGTCGGGGCGTTTCTTGGACGTGGAACCGAAAACGAACTGTGCCGCATAGTTCTTCATGGTCAAGCTGGCATTAAAGGAACGAATTTTCGGATTAGCGATAAACTTCTACTTTTCACTGCCCATTTTACTTACAACTCTAAGGAGGAAGGATCCTCGAAGGGCGTTATGTCGTTCTTGCGGTTTAGGACTTTCACCAGTGGCTTCTTCAGTTGATTAAGGTCCTTCATGAACTGCTTTACACTGCCACCACATTTTCGTCCATCTACAAAGAGCATTGTGCGGGCCGCCTCAATCAATTGCGGCTCCCGCGCCATTAACATTTTCTTTCCCTTGCGGGTTTTGGGTTTCCTGAAAGGTCCATAAGTTTAACTTCCTTCTTATCTTTAACTTAATGATTTAAGGCTCACCTGATGCGTAACAGCGACATTTTTATGTGCTTTCTTTATTGAAAACAAAAGCAACAAATTACAATTTCTTCAAATACTAGGCACGCACGTGTAGAAACGCCGTGGAAGGACTGCCAACCTGTGTGAATCGTAATTAGTTAGCAGTCCCAATCAAACAAATTGGCAGCCGCATCAGCTGTTGCCATTCACCGCGAATAACAGTTACATCTTTTTATTTTCGTTTAATTGTTTTTAAGGGTTTTTTTTTATGGTAATGCTGAAATAATGCTTAGGAACGGTCAGCATCAAGCGCAGCTGCTGGCGCGAAGCCTGGGCCAGCTCTCACGTGGAGCGGCTACGGCAAAAAAAGTCACCAGTAAAGAGGAGAAGTCAAAGCTGAAGTCGTCTCCCATAGAGATGCCCATAGAAGAGGCCCTAAATGCCAGCTATTTGTCCAAAACTCTGGGCAAGTTTATCCCTCGCTTTATAAAGAATCTATCAGTAATGATGATCTTAAATTTATAGGTAGCAACTATAGGGCCTGGTCCGCTGCACTGGAGAAGCATCCTGAGCTGAAGACGGTGAAGCGCAAGGATTTGCTCAACTCCTACGATGCGCTGAAATCACTGCAGTACAGCGTGGACGATATTATCACCAAGCCCATGATCATCTATTACGGGGCGACGACGCTGTCAAATCGCCATAGCGTCCTGCTGGAGTGCGGATTCCATAATGTGACCATCCAAACGCTGGCCAAGTATGTGACGGTAGTCAATAAGCCAATCGACATTCTGAAGGCTCATGGCTTCATACCTTTCGATCTGAAGGTGCCCGAGCGTCTGGCTAGCCTATTTACGGACATCCAGCTGCCGCTAGCAAAGCAGGAGCTGGAAAGCGAGAGCCTCACCCTGAAGACAATCCGCCAATCGCTGCTGAATGCCTACCTTCGCGAGCGCCTGCAGATGGACGACGGCGATCTGCAAAAGCTATGGAGGGTCTACTCCCGTGTGCGGCATAAAAGTTTCCGCTCTGTCCAGGACACAGTAGAGCTTCTGACCAAAGAGCTGAAGTTTTCCGCAGAGCGTCTGAGGAAGAACAGTTTTCTGCTCCATGCGGACGCAGATAATGTGCGGCGCATCCTCCAGGAGATACCCACCATTGACTCGCAGGACATACGTGATATTGGCTACCGCCGGCCCAAGATCCTAATGTCCACCTGCGATAGCCTGAAGCAGACCCTCCAGAATGTCCGTTCCTTTGGCATCACCGAAGGGGCGGTTATGCGTTGTCTGGAGGTGCTTACTCTGGGGCCGGACACAGTGTTGGAGCGTTTGCGGGATCTACAGGAGATCGAGGAGTTCCAGGTGCTGGGCACCAATCCGCGTGTGCTGCGCTTGGTCCACTACCAGAACAAGGCCCGTCTTCGTTTGGATTACTTAACGCAGCTGAAGGTGCGTTGCGCCTCCCTGCACATCCTCTCCTGCGGCTCCGAAGCGTTTGCCAAGTAAGTGGAGAAGAATCTGTAGCACCGCCCAATCTCTTGTATATCCTCTGTCCAATTCAGATTCGCTAGAGATGGCTCGGATCGTACCAAAGGTCGTGACATTGTGGTCTACCTGGGCAACGTTCTATCCAAGGATGAGCAAGTGCTACGTAATCTGCTTTCCCGCCACCCCAACTGGTGCCATATACCCCTTCTGCATGTGAAGCAGTGTCTGGAGTACTTGAAGAGCAAGAAGTTCAAGCTCACGGAGATCTTTGACAACATTCACTTGCTCTTGTATCCCATGTAAGTTCGGAAATATGTAGTTTCAATTGGAAAGCATTCCCTATTAAAAATTCTCCCTTTTCTTTCTCGTAGTAAACGCATTGAGGAGAAGCTCTTGCTACTGCAGTCGCCCGAAATTCAGGAGGAGCTGCAGTTGCCTGTGTCCGATGTCCATGATCTGAGCAACAACGAGATCCTGACTCTCATCCTCTATCTAATCGAATCGGAATTCCACTTCACCGGCGATGGCATCTGGACGGAGCAGCACACACATCACGTGGAGAACTTCAACAATCTGCTGCCCGATTTCCCGGAGAGCCTCAACAAGGTTTATAAATACGGCGTTAAACCACCAGCCGAAAAGCAGATTGCGCAGCATTTATAGAACTGCCTGCCAATAAAATTGTACATAGTTAATTAGTATCCTAATACAATTGATTTTAAATGGATATAAAATTATTTGATTTATTGAAGATTTCACGGCCTGAAAGCGTATGTCAATCATCGGCAGGCTCCTTGTGTTCCTCCCTCCATTCCTTCGTTAGTTCCTCATCGTGTATGACGATAATGGGGTCATATTTAACATTAGTGGAGCCCAATTTCTGTTTCACATCCTGATAGGCGGCAGTCAACGGCTTTTGAACAGCTTCCGTATAGACATAGTCTTCATCCTGGAAAACGCATAATAAAACAATCGGGAGGGATGTGCGATATGTATGAACGAACCAAGTCATATGTGCGATCCGCATCCAGATCCCCCTTGTACGCCACAAAGGGAACGTGGACAACAGGCTTTGGCTCACGCCCCGTAGTCCGTACCAGCCATGTTTCGGGATGTTTGTGCCATTCTGTGGTCAGATTACAGGGCGTGTGCCCTTCTGGCAGGCAGAATTGGCGGGCCACCACAAAGGCTTCGATGCTGGAGTTTCGCGATGCCGAGGGCTTAAAGACACACACGTCCTTGAAGAAACGCTGCAGCTGTAAATACAGCCGGCTGGTGTTGTCCGCTCGATAGATTTTCGCCACCAAAGAGCCGCCCGTTTCCAGGATGAACGTGGAGATGCTCAGAGCGGAGAGGAGGAGCTCTCCCTGCATGTAGACATCGAAATCGTGCATTCCCGTGGAGTCGGGGGCACCGTCAGAGACCACCAGTTGGGCTTTCTGGCCCTCAAAGTACTCGATGATGGCCTGGGCGGTTGACTCTTTTGTGATGTCTGCCCGCAGCTGATGGACCCCGTCGATGGGAGCCATCCCCTGCAGATCGACGGCAATGATTTTTACCTTTTCACGCTCTTCGGGCGAACGTGGCTCGTACATGTGCTTGGAGAGGACCTGGGACCAGCTGCCGGGAGCAGCGCACAGGTCCACGGCACGTGTGACACCTGCACTATAATAAAATCAATATTCGCTTAGAACACCACGAGGCTGGGACTCACCGTCCAGTAGATGAAAGGTTTCCTCGGCCTGCAGCAGCTTGAAGGCACTTCTCGCCCGCCATCCCTGCTCCTTGGCCAGGCGGTAGAAAATATCACGTTTGTCCTTTGATGTCTTGCCCATCGAAAACCATAAATTTTCAACTTGTAAATAAACTTGAATCTTTCAATCATTAACCCATTGTCGAGCAGTGGGTATTAAAATACGCTCCCCGAATATTATGAAATTTTAAGAATTTCAGCGTTGTTTTATGTGAAAAATACCGTAGTCTTTTTTATGCAAAAATGGAGGATAGTACAGACCTACAGGAGTAATTATTATTATTGATATTTGTATTATTTTCGCAGGCTTAACTCAGGCTGTTATTCAGTTTAAATAAAGGGGGCTTAAGTGGGCTAAGTTCGGTTTTTCATCGGTCAATTTTATCGATATCGGTTTTTGGGAATTTCTTCGGGCTTTTTTTTCTGAAAACAAGTGACTTTTTATTGTTTTATGCAGCACCCCCAGCCTGCAGATCGTAAAAAGTTCCTGCTGCTATGACCACATCAGCGGCGTCATAGTCAAAAAGTCCCATAGTTAAAAAGGCCAATCCACCACAATACCAACAAAAAGAGGCGAAAAAAATACACCCCAAACATGTCCCAGTTGAAGAAATTGCACATGACGAACAGCCTTAGTAGCTTGGAGAAGCTGTCCGACATAACGAAAGACTTGCGGAACATAAACATAAAATTGTATGTCGATGCTCCACTGCATTATCAATGAATTGCTTTGATTCCCTTGATTTTCTCTATTTTCCGCTCCCAGATTGCTCTCCACTGCTCGCAAACTCTTCATGAAGGCGGAGCAGTATCGACTGGAAGGCGACGAGGAGATGGCCTACATCAACTACATGAAGTACTTCAATATAATAAAGGCCATTCGCAGCAAGCCTGACTATACGACGCATAAGGTGCAGGTACGTGAGTCGCTGGGCGACACCGAAGCGAACCGTCGTATTATGGACTCTCTCGAGATGATAGCGGACTCGCTCTGCGAACGCTACAGACAGCTACATAAGCCGCCAAGCCCTGCAGCCCCGCTTAACCAGACAGAGACAATCAGCCACAGCAAACCGCAGGGCGCCGCGTCCCCACATGCCACAGAGTATGCTCGATTGGGCGTGGTCTCGTGCGAGGAGCTGTACCAGCGTATTTCTGAGAAATCCGTGCTGGTAATGGACTGTCGACCCAGTGCCGACTACGAGAGGTCGCACCTCACCTACTTCTGTGCATTCAATGTGCCTGAAGAGCTCATAACGCCAGGGTAAGTGGGGAACATCAAAAAAAAAAAAAAGACTCACTCTCCATGTAATCTCCTACAGTATGTCAGCTGGCAAACTGCAGGCTCGTCTCAGCAGCACCGCCAAGGCCTCGTGGGCGTCGCGCTCTGTCAAGGAATCGGTGGTTCTGATGGACTGGAACAGCAAGGATGCCCAGCCGGCGGCAAATACTCCGATAGCCACGCTCCTGGACATCCTGAAAAATGTAATTAATAGAAGAAACCCCTAGATTAAAGAATTAATTAATAATTTTCTCTCTTTTCAGTGGGATCCCGATGTCACCTACCGCGCGCCCATACAGATCGTGGATGGGGGCTATGAGTACTTCATCATGATGTACCCGACGCACTGCACCAATCCCAGTGTGCAGGCACCGAAGCAGAACAACAACGACATGGAAACCATTGACGACATCGAGTATCCGTCGATCAATGACATTTCAATGAAGGAAGACATCAGCCCGCGGGATTTTAGCCCTCGTCCGGACATCAATCGGGCCAGCAAGCAGGCCGCACTACGCACCTACCAGCAGGCCAAGCCCATAGCCGAGATCATGCGCGAACAGGCCGAGTTCCTACAGCGGGCACAGCAAAACGACGAGCAGCTGAATAGTGCCGCCAAGATGTGGAAGCTACTCATCCAGCGGAAGAGTCCCTCGAGCAACTTTAGCGAATCGGATAATCAGCTGCTATACAAAATCCTTCAGCTGGAAAGCCAAGCAGAGGATTATGTGAGTGGGCCGCAGGGCAAATTAAGTCTTTATCTTAACCCAATCCCAACTTCTTCGTTCTTTACTCAACAGAAAATAGAGAACAATCGCCTGCGAAACGATGTCGAGCGCTTGAAGACGTTCCAGACGGTGGCACCGCAGCAGGTGACTCCTAAGGATGCGGAGGCCACCAGGCGCATCGAATTGGGGATTTTAGAGCGACAACGGCTGGACGAACAGAACATGCGCGAGCGCCAGGAGCGGGAGCATCAGCTGGCCATTGCACGTGAGGCCAAGAAGCATTACAGGTCACCGTCGCCACCGCCTTCACCGCCAGAAGAATCCTCACCCCAGGACGAGGTGTCTCTTTCTCTCAACAAGCCGGCTACCAATGGGGTTCATGATTTGGATCTGTCCATGAAAGAGATTCTGGACGAGAAGCCCATGTTCGATCGGGCTACGAAGCCGACGGCGAGTCCAAGCAATGTGGAAAGGATAGTGTCACGGTCTCGTGATTTCTCCCCTGTTATAGGTCACAATGTGGTGAGTGATTTGCATATGTGAGAATGTCCGAATGTTCGAATGGGGGATGAAAATGGGGCTAGAAATAGGGCTGAGGGAAGAGGGTGTCTTGAATCACTCGCGGCTTATAAATAGCCCCACCACCCACTGGTGAATCAATAGCCAAGGGTCACGTTTCGAAGACGCCCAACGAGCGCCCAAAACAGTCGCTCGCTGTCCGCACTCAAAGCATGTTCAAGTTAAAGCAACGTAAAATCGCGAAACTGTTTGGCAACAGCAGCACATACCCGGAATCGGAACCCCCGAATGATTTCCGTCGCGGGCGTCAAGTTTCAGCTGCCAACGGCTTTGCCTCCTTACAGCATTTATAGCTCTATTTTTCCCCTTCGACGTGTAATAAGCTCTTTTCTTGGTTTCACAATGGTCTTCCAATCGCTTATCTGTCACTCTCTTTCTACTTGAAATTGCAGGGAAGGGGTCTCACGGGATTGAAGAATCTGGGGAACACCTGCTACATGAACAGTATACTGCAGTGCCTGAGCAACACGCCCCAGCTGACGGAGTACTGCCTATCAGACAAATACAAGAACTACATCAGCCGCAGCAACAAGACAAATGGCCAGGTCATCGAGGAGGTGGCGGCCCTCATCAAGGAGCTCTGGAATGGCCAATACAAGTGTGTGGCCAGTCGGGATCTGAGGGTAAGTTGGAGAGACTCATGAACGAAGACTTCTGCTTGCTCATGGCTTTAATTTGCAGTCTGTGGTGGGGCAGTACCAAAATATCTTTCGCGGCGTTGATCAGCAAGACTCGCATGAGTTCCTCACTATTCTGATGGATTGGCTGCATTCTGATCTGCAGACGCTGGACGTGTCGCGGATGCGGGAGACCATCGGGGCTGCGGAGCAGGCCTGGTTGGATTTTACCAAGGCCAAAGAGAGCATAATTTTGCATTTATTTTATGGCCAGATGAAAAGCACCGTCAAGTGTGTGACCTGCAACAAGGAGTCGGCCACCTACGAGTGCTTCTCGAATCTCAGTCTCGAGCTGCCGCCCAACGCGAACGAGTGCCAACTGAACCAGTGCATGGACATGTACTTCAGTGGGGAGCGCATCCAAGGCTGGAATTGTCCGAACTGCAAAACGAAGCGGGCTGCCATCAAGAAGCTGGACATATCAAAACTGCCGCCAGTGCTGGTGGTCCATTTAAAGCGGTACGTACTCGGGAAAAGATCCATCCCCTATCTATATTCATTCAACTGGTCTCTATAGCTTCTATGCGGATACGAGCAACACTGGATCCTATGCCAAAAAGCAAAACTTTCTGAGCTTTCCCCTTCAAAACCTGGAGATGAGTCCGTATATAGCACGTGCCGAGTCGCGTGCTGCAAAGCCCAAGACGTACCAGCTGTATGCTGTCTCAAATCACTATGGTACCATGGAGGGCGGCCACTACACGGCGTTCTGTAAGAGCCCCAATTATGGGCGCTGGTATAAGTTTGACGATCAAGTGGTTTCGACGCTGGACACGTCAAATGTCATCTCGAGTGCCGCATACATTCTCTTCTACACCTGGCTGCCCCCCGATACGCATGCCCGATGTTTTGATGACGTATAAGTTCTAGTCGCTTCACCCCAATTACCGCCTAATTGTTGCTATCTGTTGTTGTCTAGAATAGGAATAGGAATAGGAATATATATATGCGAGGTGATGGATGCGATGCGGGTTGGAGTCACACATTTACCGAAACTAAGATAATTTCAAGTGCATTATAAGTGTATAACAAATAGCAGAGTACACACAACGTGTATTTTTATAGGCATATTTTTAAACCAAATAAACGAAATGAAATTTCCAAACATTAAGTGAGGGCGAACTTTTAAATTTGTCACCAAAGGCTTCAGTGAATGCAGAAACTAGTCAGTCCCTGTTTTACAGCTATCTCAACGAAATTTTTGCAGTTTATGGTCTTTTTACAGAGAATAAGAATAAGTATCGGGATCGAGTTACATATGATTAAATGCATGAGTAGATCTAAGACATGTCAATCTAAGAAAAAGTCCTTAGACATCAACTTGGAAAACAGACTTTTAATATTAATTCAAGGATACAGGGTATAAATATGTCCATACCACCGGTTGACAAGCAAAAAGTGTGCAAATGACGTAAGATTATATGCTCACTTACTTTTATGCTTTGACCTTTTTTGTTTAAACCTCATTTTAGACAAAATCGAAAAAGAGAGTCCTTAAAATAAGCCAATCTTCTAGAATATTCATGCGTCAATTGGATAAAATTATGAGTTTAGGGCTAAAGATTCCGCTAGCCAGTAATATTAAGCCGATAATCAAAATATGTTTTCTGATCATGGACAGAGACCGATTAACCCATTGTAGACCAGTGTATTACACAGTATTACAAAATTGCAGAATTTTAACGCATTTAAAGAGGAAGGATTGACAAAAAATTTACAAACAGTGTTATTTTCCGCGGCTTAACTCAAGTTTTTACCTGTTTAAATAGAGGGGGGAAGAGTGGGTTAACTTCGTTTTAGCAACACTGGTTCTCTTCTTCTTCAGCCGCACACGTGCTAGTGCTGCGCTTTGTTTTTCGCAAATTAAATTGTTTTAATTTGTGAAAATGCGTATCGAAACGTGCTACTTTTGCTCCAGCAAAATATATCCCGGCCACGGGGTTAATTTCGTACGAAATGATTGCAAGGTGAGGCCCAGTTCGATGCGTTTTTGACAATTGCGCAGCCTTGTTTGTAAACACATTGAACTTGAAATTTTTTCTGTTGTTAGATCTTCAAGTTCTGTCGTGGAAAATGCCACAAAGCCTTCAAGCGCAAGAAGAACCCCCGCAAGGTAGGCTGGACTAAGGCACATCGCAAGACTGCTGGCAAGGAGCTGGCCATCGATCCCAGTTTTGAGTTCGAGAAGCGTCGAAATGTGCCCGTCAAATACAGCCGTGAGACTTGGCAGAAGGCCCTGGAAGCCATCAAGAAGGTTACCGAGATCAAGCAGCGTCGCCAGGATCACTTTGTCATGGAGCGTTTGCGCAAGGGCCGAGAGATTGAGATCCAGATGGATGTCAAGAATGTGCAACGCAACATGTCGCTGATTCGCTCGCCAGCCGCTGGCCTCAAGGAGCGCCGTGCCAAGGAAGAGGCCGAGGAGGCGGCTCTCATGGACGAGGAGGATCTGCCCGAAGAGAAAATCACCTATGTGGACGCACGCGAATTGGAGAAGCGTCTCGAAGAGGGAATGGGAATCGAGGATTTGGAAATGTTGGAAGCCTAAGGACTTGTACACTGATTTAGATTTAAGCTGCTAACGAGAATATAGTTAACAAAAACCCCGTGGTACATAAATAGTAGCTTTCTTGTATATTTTTTGGCAAAACTGAACCCAGCTAAAAATGCTTCACTTGTCCACGCCTTCGTCCGGCTGCTTCCTGTCGGGTGACTCCAGGTTGATTGTCACGGGGCCGTCGTTTTCTATGTGCACCTGCATGTTCGCCCCGAATTTGCCATCTGCAGATACATGAATGGGAAATGTGAGTAAGGAGAAGACCACACTCTGATAGATCCTGCACCTTTAATTTTGCAGGTGTCGTACGACTGCTTGAGGCGGTTTAGAAAATGTGTGTACAGCTTCTGGGCGTCATCTCCCTTCATAGCAGCCGAAAAATCGGGCTTGTTGCCTTTCAGTCGGTGGTATAGTGTGAATTGTGAGATGCAAAGAATCTCCAGCTGCAGGTCTTTGGCCGACTTTTGCCACCGCTTGCCTTCGTCCTCGAACAGCCGCAAAGCTAGTATCTTGCGCACCCTGATGGCGCAATAATGAAAATGTACTTAAACAATGATTTTCAATGAAATTACTTACAGATACTCAACATCTGTGACTGTGTCATCAGCCTTAATTCCGACCAACACGCACAATCCAGGCCCAATGGAGGAGACCAGCTCATCCAGCACTGGGGAAAGATGGCGGACTGTGTAGCGCTGTCAAAAGATGGTATCATTCCTGCCATGCATACCCGTAACCTTTGCAGCTCTAACCCTCTGTATGACGGCCCGCATGGTTCGTTTTTTTATTTATTTTTTTGGAAGATTTTACGGAGTGCTGGCTGACGACTAAAAGTTATCGCCGGACCGATAGCCGATACCCAGCTGATTTCAATTCAAACTGGCCGCCAATCCCATTCCCCAAAGTGAACTCGCGGTAATTGGATTAGACCAAACGCTGATGTCAGTCAGTTGTTCCCTCGCCTGAACTAGTTGAATTTCATCATCCACAGAGAACAACAGCATGGGACAGCATTTCCAAAGTAATTGCCAAATGAAACCAATGAAATTGATTATAATTCCCGAACTCCCGTTGCAGAGATCTTGGTAGTTGCAGGCATCTTGATAGGCTTGCTGTCTGGATTAGCCATGCTGGTCGGCAGCTTGCTAAAGGAGTCGATACCGAACGTTTTGGCGCCAGCGGAACGACAGTTTGCGTTTGACTATGTGATAGGTGAGTGGAAGCACGGGCTACAATCGTGTAGTGACGTTCATGGGTTGCATTACCTTCAGTTGGGGCTGGAACTGGGGGCAGCACGCTTACCTCGTTGCTGGCCAAGCACAGCAACGGCAGCGTTCTTCTCATTGAAGCCGGGAGTGTCTTTGGACTGCTCAGCCGGATTCCGCTGCTAACCACCTTCCAGCAGAAGGGCATCAACGACTGGTCGTTCCTCTCCGTGCCCCAGATACACTCTTCCCGAGGTCTTATCGAACAGCGACAGTGCCTGCCACGAGGCAAGGGACTCGGAGGATCTGCCAATCTGAACTACATGCTTCACTTCGACGGGCACGGGCCGGACTTTGACGCCTGGCACCAGCTTCACAACCTAAGCGAATGGAGCTGGGCGCACATGGGTCGCTTCATGGCCGCCGCCACAGCCAAGCCCTGCGACATGTTTGAAATACCTCGTGGCTACTCGACGCTTACGGACGCTCTGGAAGATGCGCAGAGCCAGTTTGCGGACAAGCCTTGGGTGTTTCGTCGCTCGCGTTACAACATCAAGAACGGACTTCGCCACTCGGTGGTGCAGCAGTTTCTTCAGCCCGTGCTGAAGAATGCTAATCTCCGCCTGCTTCCCGAGGCGCTGGTCAAACGGATACAGCTTTCGTCCGGCCCCACTCTTCACGCCAGCTCCGTTCTGGTGGGCTTGAAGGATGGCGAAAACAAGGAAGTCGAATTCAGCATCGAGGTGCGACGCGAGCTGATCCTTTGCGCCGGCTCCTACCAGACCCCACAACTCCTGCAGGCCTCTGGAATTGGAAACAGCTCAACGCTGGCCAAACTAGGGATTCCTGTGCTGCACAACTCCCCTCTGGTGGGCCGGAATCTCCACGACCACTTCAATGTGCCTCTCTTTGTCTCGATGGGTGTGGCCGGGCCAAGCCTCAACCAGCGCACGCTCCTCAGTCCAATGAGTATGCTCAACTACCTACGCTCGGGAACGGGACCGTTCGGGAACTTTGGAGTGCTGGGACACGTGGCCAGCCATGAGGAGCAATCGCCCTTTGGCATCACCTTCTTTGGGGCTGGGGCCATAGACGAAGCTGCGCTCATGTCCATTTCCAATTTCAAGGTAGCCGCCTTTCGGGCGCTCTTTCCACGGTACTACAACGCCTCGCAGGAGGGATTCGTGGTGATTTCCAACTGCCTGCAGCCAAAGTCCAGGGGCTCGGTGCGACTCCTCAACAGACACATGCGCAGGAATCCCTTGATCGATCCAAACTACCTTAGCCACGACGATGATGTGGCCTGCACCATTGCGGGAATACGAACTGCTGTAAAGGCGAGTAAAATTGATTGTATTCAACATTGTAGGGAATAACAGAAAATCGTGTACTACAGTTGGTCACCTCATCCTCCTTTGCTCAGCTCCGGCCTTACATACACTGGCCAAAGCTGCAGGAGTGCACTAACTTTGGACCTTTTGAGAGGGATTTCCTCGAGCACCAGCCCTCGGATCAGTATCTAGAGTGTCTTATGCGTCACATTGGATTGGGGTCCCATCATCCAGGTGGCAGTTGTGCCCTGGGCAGTGTGGTGGACTCACAACTCAGGTAGGTCTCCTGTACCTTCGCTTCGATTGCTCTGTGTAATGGAATGTCCCTTGGCAGATTACTGGGCGTGCCCAATATTCGAGTGGTGGATGCCAGCGTGCTGCCTCGTCCTATTTCGGGGAATCCCAATACAGTCATCTCTGCCATTGCGATGCGTGCAGCCTCCTGGATACTGAAGAGCGAGCTGCTGCAAGAGGGCCGCCGACGCCAATGATCGGAAGAGTAATATCTGCTGAAACTAATCAAATCAATTCAAAGAGTATTAAAGCTATCAAACGATTGCCATTGTTCTCGCTGATCTTGCACTTGATCTTCCTCTGAGGCGCTCCTGGCTCGCTGCCAGTTGGGCATTTAATGAATGACTATAAAATGGATGCGCCGCGTGCGCCACGCTCAGTTCTTGTGCAACTCGATGCCAATGACCAGACCGCCCCCGACATAGAGCGTAGACCATAGACCGTAGCGTAGAGCAGAGCGTAGTAATATTTCCGAAAGTGGCAAGTGGCAATAATTGTTTTACAGACGGATAGATATGACGTTGAAGGGCGATGCCAGCGACGCTCGTTGTCATCTCTGATTCGGCCGAGTGTTGAGTCGCCGTCGTCGGGTCCTGGATGGTTTTTTCAAGATCAGTTCTTCCGAGTGTGTTCTGTGACATAATTGTTTACAAGGCGACTCTCCCGCCGCTCTACGTCATTGTGGGATCTCTGCGAGATCTTAATTCGTGAAGATTATGTCAATTCGCGGTGTCTGCTGGGACCACTGTTTGATGTTGACGTTTTCCCGGAATCACAGCGCTTTTCTCTAAGGTCGGGTCGGGTCCGTGATTCAACTGGAGACAGAAGTGTCGTAATTCTCGCACTCGCCGGTTTAGCTTCGACCCATGTGCGCACGGATTTGGTGTGGGTGCTGGTGCGGCTGTGACTGTGTCCAAAAACTAAATTGCTCGACAATTGATAATTGAGCGAAATTGAATTGAATCACAGCCAGAGGAGCGAGCGAGCATTAGCCCAGTGCATTAGATGGGCTTGAGCTTAGTGAATCGGAGACAGACCTAGGCATTGGATCGCTGGCACCGCTGGATATATTCTCCTCCTTCTTCTACCTCGTTCCTCGTTAGTTAGCAACCAGTCGGACGCAAACATGCACAACATTGAGCAGATCCTGGTCGAGCTGCAGCGCTTCTCGTGGCCCGACTATGTGGCATTTGTGGCCATGTTCCTGCTCTGCATCTGCATTGGCATCTACTTTGGGTTCATGAACAAGTCCGTCTCCGAGGCCGACTACATGCTCGGCGGCCGCAAGATGCTGGTGATTCCGATCGCCTTCTCCCTGGTCGCCAGCTTCATATCGGGCATCACGCTCCTGGGACTCCCAACCGAGGTTTATTCCTACGGCGTGCAGTACCTCTACGTGGCCTTTGGCGTAGTGGGCATGGGCATTGTGATGGGCGTATTCTATCTGCCGGTTTTCCACGATCTGAACATAACATCCACCTACGAGGCAAGGACACACGCAGAAAGATACGCTCAGGCCACAATCTGAAGAACGCTTTCATATTTTCTAATACTTGCAGTATCTGGAGGTTCGCTTCGATCGCCGCCTGCGCCTGTATGGATCCATTATGTTTGCGGTTATGAATGTGTGTATCGATGATTGCATCCTTTCCAAGGACAATAAAAGATAACATTCCCGCTTGGAATTTACAGGTGGCCTATCTGCCCATCGTGATATATGTGCCGGCGCTGGCCTTCAACCAGGTAACTGGCATTGGAGTGCACACGATCACGCCGATTGTGTGCATCATTTGTGTGTTCTACACGAGCCTCGGCGGTCTCAAGGCGGTGGTTTGGACGGACGTTGTGCAGGCGGTCTCCATGCTGGGAGCCCTCTGCTTGGTCGCCATCAAGGGTAGCATGGACATTGGCGGGGTTAGCGTTGTCCTGGAGCGTGCCTGGAATTCGGATCGTCTGGAGGCGCCAGAGTAAGTGGAGAATCTCCTTATGTGCTGCAACCACCCACCACTTTCGATCCTTGCAGGCTCAGCATAGATCCCACAGTCCGTCACACGTTCTGGTGCCTGTTCTTCGGAGGAATAGTCTACTGGACGCAGACGAATGCCGTCTCCCAGAACATGATCCAGAGATACCTCGCACTGCCCACACTCGCGGACGCCCGCAAGGCTCTGTTCATCTTCTGCGTGGGAGTCCTAATTCTGATGGCCTTGTGCGGCTACAATGGACTGCTTATCTATGCCACCTACCAAAACTGTGATCCCCTCACTACCAAGGCAAGGACTACCCTACTCCTCCTCCTGGGTATACACTTTATAATCTCTGATTCGTTTATAGCTGGCAAAGGCTCGAGATCAGCTTTTGCCCCTCTTCGTGATGGACACGCTGGGCGAAATGCCCGGTATGACGGGCCTCTTCATAGCCGGCGTCTTCAGTGCTGCCCTGAGCTCCCTCTCCACCTGTCTGAACTCCATGTCGGCGGTGGTGTTGGAGGACTTTGTGAAGCCATATGTGAAGCAGCCCCTCTCCAGTTCGTCGATCAACTGGATCATGCGGCTGGTGGTCGTCGGTGTGGGAGCCCTCTGTGTGTGCCTCGTTTATGTGGTGGAGCATATGGGCACAGTCCTGCAGCTGACTATGAGTCTGGAGGCCATCACCAATGGCCCCTTGTTTGGCATCTTCACCATTGGCCTGTTTCTCCCTTGGATCAATGGGAATGTGAGTCTCCAGATAACTATTTTCCTGGCCCAAAACTTATCTCAATTCTCTGCCACAGAGTGCTCTTTTGGGCGGAATCATGGGTGTCATAGCCATGTCCTGGGTAAGCCTGAATGCCCAGTGGGCCATCGCCTCGGGAGCCATCAGTTACAACACGAAGCCGCTCAACATTGAGCAATGCGACTACAGATTCAATGTCACCACGAGTGCCGCCAACAGCACCATACATCTGGCAGGCTCAGCCTCAGAGTAAGTCAAAGGATCTCCCAGTATATCCTCATGCTTCTATTTTAATTTCTTTTATTCGAAAAGGGATATCTTCCCATTGTACCGCATCTCGTACATGTGGTACACGACCTTTGGCGCTTCGATTACCATTATTGTGGCGCTGCTCGGTTCCTTGGCGTTTGGCAGAAACAATCCCAACAAAGTCGATCCCGTACTGCTGACCCCCTGTATACGAAGGTTCTTCAGCTTTGGCTCCAACAAACCCATGGCGAGTAGCATACATATTTTCTCCTTTGATTGATGTTCATTCGAGTGCTTTCCTCCTTCAGGATGCCTACAAACCCGACATTCCACTACAGCACAAGCTCCGAAACGACGAGGTGGCTCTCTAAAGAATCGAACGACACTCCACTCCACGGAGTTCCTTTCAACACAGCATCCAATTGTAGATAATCCATTATTAAACAAATTTTTTAACTATTTACTGCTTGCGCGTAGAAAAAATACAACTGTGTTTAATCCAAGGATCGATTAGTAACAATATATAAATACGATTAACACAATCTGCTGTTGGGACAACCTGCTGTCCATGTGATGGAGAGAATGGATCAGCAGCGAATTACTTCTGCTGCTGCACCTTGTTGAGCAGAATGTGGCGCTCCGCCTCGTTGAGATGCTCGTAAAAGCTGGGAAAGTGTTCGTTTTGTGTGAAATTGGTGAGGAATTTTTGCAGGTTCTCGGCTATGTCGCCTGTGTAGTTGGTCTCCTTGAGCAGCTCCTTGAGCAGCAGATCGTCCTCTACATTATCCTTGTCGAATTCCACGTACAGGTCAGAGATGAATCGAGATTTAGCTAAGCTGGTGGCCTCGTCTTCCTCGGCCTCGGCATCCTCCTCATCGGTGTCGGTAAGTGGCTCGTCCGTCTTGCTCTCCTGAAAGTGCTGGTACTCGGACATCAGCACCTTGAAGATCTTGACGAGAGCAGGAATTGTGGTCCACTTCTGGTTGGCGGCGGCCACGGAGCGAGTGCGCCTACGGGCATCGCTGGGGTCCTCTACCAGCTCCTTGTAGGTGATGCTCGTGAGGCGATTGTCCTGCGTGGCCACGCCGTACTCGAACAGCTTGCACAGGGCCATGGTGGTGACCTTTCGCTCGTACATGCCGAAGAACGAGTTTTGGCGCGAGAGCCAATTGGAGAGGACGAACTGCATGGCTGGCTCTCCGTTTGGCCCCGGAACAGTGGACAGAAAGTTGAGCACGGCGTCCATTTGAGTAAGGAAGAGATGGGCGAAAATCAGGACCAGATTCATGATTACCTTAAGGCACTCCAGGTTCTGCATTTTGCTGATCACAGCCTTCAGCAGCATGTCCACATTCGGTCCAAGCATGGTGCCCATTTTTGTGATGATCGTGATGACCAGCCGTCCGATCTGGCCCGCGGCCGTCATCTCGCTGTTCATGGGATTGAGCAGTACAGCGGCCACCACCTGCATGATGCAGTTACCACCCTCGCCGTTCTGGTAGCTGCAGATCTGGGCGGGCGAGACGTTGATGAAGCTGCGAAGGCACTCGCCGCCGGCCAGCATCACCGCATGATCGTCCGTGTGCACGAGGCAGTTCAAGACGGCCGGAAAGGCTCTGTCCAGCAGTGCGCTGCTCAGTGGCGGCTCCGTGTACTTGACGATGGTGTTGAGGACGTCCAGGGCAATGTCCTGCTTCTCAGTGTTATTTGTCTCTAGCAGTTCCAAGATGCTCACGATAGTGGGAATGAACTTCTCCTGCAGCAGCACCAGGCACTGCTTCCGCTGGCAGAGGGCTTTGATTAGATCCTGCACATTCTCCAGGACGTACGGGTCCTCGGCATACTTGAGAAAGACAGCAATGGCCAGCGGAGTAATCTTGCCATTGGCGGCATAGGCAAAGTCTGCATCAAACTGTGAGAAAGCAGGAGAAATGGGATTAGGAATCCTCGATGAATGAACACTGGTCGCTTACCTGGACCATGACCGTCAGTGCCTCCATGAGCAGGGCCAGGACAGTGGCCTTGCAGCCCGAGACCAGAGCCATGATGCCATCAAAGAATCCCGGCAGCTTGGACACCAGCAAAGTTCGTTTCTCGCCCTCGGTCGATTCGTTGGCCAGCAAGAAGCCGTGCAGCGTGCGCACTGCACTGATCCTCAGGATGTGCGTCTTCTCTGGCGACAGGCTGCACAGGGTGACGTCGAGGATCTCGGCCACCATCTGGGGATTGTACAGGTCTGACTTGGAGTATGTGCTCAGGGTCCAGAGGGCGCGACCCACCAGGTGGGGCGACTCCTGGTGCACCAGCAGATTCCGCACGATGGTCAGATAATTGAGAAGATCGAACTTGGAGTCACCCTCGAGAATGATGTCGCGAAAGCCGTGCACGGCGTCCATGCAGGCCTCCTGGATCTTCCACCAGTTTGGATTGTTGGCCGCCTTCTCCGCCTCGGCCACGCTAAAGTGCCTGCCCAGAGCCTCCTGCAGCGGCTGAATGGCCTTTGCCCCGAACTCGTCGTTGATGGCCAGCAGGACATCGCGGCCGCACATGCGCACCGTCAGCTCCACGCCGCCGTCATCCTCGTCGTCGACAAATTTCTCTGGGTCCTCCTGCCAGTCCTCCAGCTGCTCCTCGCTCAATTGGATGTACACGATCGTGATGTAGATGAGATCGGCCAGCACGTTCTTGATGCATCCCCGAAGTTTTCCACAGGTCACGATGCAGTTGATGAACTCGAGGATCTGGATGATGAGCGTTTGGAAATTGGTCTGCTCGTCATCGTCTTCGTTGTCGCCACTGGGCAGTGGATTGGGCTCTGTTTGGTTCACCGACACCTTCACATAGGTCTCGGCTATCTGGGTGAGGAGCTGCCAGATGATGGGCAGTATCCTCTCCATGAACGGGTTGATGTACTTCGAGCACTCGCTCACCACGTGGGTGAAGACTGTAACAGAAGGGGAGTGGTAATGATAATGGTATTGGTGGGTGTCCGTCTGCTCACCCTTAATGATTTCTGAGCGTAGCAGGAAATTGGAGCCCGCTCCGCTGGTCATGCTCAGGTAGTGCAACAGCTTGTCCATGAAGTTGTTGAGAATGGAGTTCATCATGGTCGCCTGCTCCTGTTTGTTCGTAATCAGAGCCGCAATGGATGTGAAGAGGGGCTTTAGGATGCGAATGGCCGATACGCGCGTCTTGATGGAGTAGTTCTGCTCAGAGTCAAAGATGCGGTACACCTCGGGAATGACAACGGGTCCCAGTTCCTTGATTTGCTCTACGTCGTAAGAAAAGTCCTGCAGAACCTGCATGGCCCCGTGGATGGAGTCTTCGTTGCCGCCCAAACACTTGACAATGATGTCGAACAGCTCCGTCCAGCATTGCGGATAGTCGGTGGAAGCTATGGTGGATATGGTATGGGCCACAGAGGAGCGGATTTTTGAGTTGGGATCGTACAGTCCGTTGGGCAGTATGTTGCGAATAGTACGCTTGGCCTGTTCGCTGGCCATGCAGCTGTTAGCCTTGTCGGTCTTCAAGTCCTCCTCCGTCCAGTGGTTCTCGACGTAGCGGGTTAGCATAACGATAGCTATCTGTCGCAGCGGAAGCTCGTGCGACTGATTCATTATGATCTCGGACAGGTAGACGCCATAGCCTGCAATTCCATATATGGGTAACATGAGCACAGAAAAACACGAGGAAACCCAACCCAACACAAGCCCTCTGCCCGCCAAATTACGCACCTTCCGTGTATTCCAGCTGCTTTGTTCGCTTCTCCGCCTCCTGCAACACATTGGTATTCGAGCTGAGAAGGTTCTGCAGCTCCTCAATGATGGCCAGTTTGACCGAATCGCCGCAGTCGTTTTGAAATTGGAGCGACATTATGCTATCCTATCACGAACTTTACTCTAAATTCAATATTAAAACAGTCAAAAACATAAACCGGCGCGGCCTACTCCAGCGTTTACATGTGATAACTTCCCACACTTTACAGCACGGTTCTGATCAGTGATGCCAAATCTCAGAGTCAATGCAAGCTAGATTCTAATAAAAATAGCCAAAATTTGTTAAAACCGTAATAAATAAGCTAAAATTTATGATAAATAGCCTGAAATAAGCTAAAACGGTGACACTGGAACTATTTTAAAATGGTGTTGCAAACACTGCTCTTGCTTCGATGACGATACATCGATACAACACATTTAGCTTCGATTAATTGTGAAATACGCGGAAAAAAATAGTACAAAATTTAGGATGAGCACCTGGAATCCAGCGAACGATGTGGATTTGCTGTCCGGTTCCGAGGATGAAGAGGACATTGCCATGAAGCGCGACTACCATGGGCGCGAGGCCATCCTGTTCGTGGTGGACGCCAACTTGCAGACGGCCGGCATAGGACGCTTGATGGAGGCGCTGAACATCATACGCACGGCATTCATCTCGGGAATGTTGGTCAACGACAAGGACCTGATAGGCCTGGTGTTCGCCAACACCAAACACAGCCCCCTGCCGCTGGAGGCGTCCTGCGTGGAGACTATAGTTGTGCCCGAGAACTGTGCCGTGTTTCTACCGCTTCGTCAGCTGACCAAACCCATTGTGGAGCATTACCTGGAGTTTATGGGGACGGTGGAGAGCCAGTTTGCCACCGAGTATGGGCTGGTGGAGCCCGACGGGCGTGGAAAATTCGATCTCATGATCCGGCTGTGTATCGAGTTGCTGGAGAAGTGCGGCAAGAAGCTGAACAACGCGAAGATTGCGTACGTGACGGATGTGGACACGCCGCATCTGCCCTCGAGCAACGAGTTTCAGGCGGCTCTGCAGAAGGCCATCGATCTGGAGGGCAAGGAGTTCGAGTTCCATGTCATTCCCATGAACGACGACTTTGACTACTGTCCTTTTTACAAGGAATTTATAACCCTGTCGCGAGGTGAGTGACGAAACTATAGTAGAACGTATGTATATTTTATGCGAAGTCTGTTCCCCTCCGTGGCGTCCAGAGATCGCCTTGGAGGTTTAAGTACTTCGCAGAGCAACTGTAGCAAATCATTCACCTGCGTCCAAGTGAAGTTAAATTTGGATGTGGTTTTGGGTCTGCTCACAGATCACAGCTGTCAGAATGCCACTATCTGAAATCGACTAACGATTCATTCTTATTATTGCAGCCATTGAATTAGACGCCTTCGTTGAACCCGATCCTTCACTGCTGCGAGAGATGCTGGCTGATCGCAAATTGAAGCAGGACTTTTTGCGGCGCTGCCTGGGCCATTTCGCCTTCCACCTGGGCCCCAATCTGTCCATGTCCGTGCAGTACTACAATTACTTCCAGCGACGGGCCCTTCCGCGCAAGGTGCAGATAATGCGGCGGGACAACAGCGTGGTGAGCACCAAGCGCCAGATCATAGTGCGCAAGCATGAAGGGGAGGAGATTAAGCACGAGTATCAGATGAAGGCGAACCAGGGCTGGTACAAGTTCGATTTGGGCGAGAAATCGTTGAGACTGACCATGACCCGGATGGACATGGTTCGAAACATGCACAAGCCCCACATGCAGCTCCTGGGGTTCAAGCACCGCTCAGCCCTGCCCGAGGTGCTCTACAGCAAGCCCTCGAATTTTATGTATCCCGACGATCAGAGCATTATTGGATCGAAGCGCTTGTTCCGGGGCCTGTGGGAGCGCTGCTTGCAGCGAGAGAAGATCATCGTCTGCCTGTTCATGTCCAAGCGTAAGTCGATTCCGCGCTATGTGGTTTTGGTGCCTGTTCAGGTGGATAAGTCGGAGGTCAAGAGCTATCGGTCGCAGCTCTGCGGAGATGGCTTCAAGATCGTCTATCTGCCGGAAGCCAAGCACATTCGCCACATAGACATGTGCGATTGGAACAACACTGCCAATTCAGCCGACGATGAGAAGGTGGACTTCTTCCAGAAGATCATCAAGAGGCTCCGCATCGACTATCAGCCAAACCTGATCAATGATCCCAGTCTGGACTACCTGCAGGCCAATTTGCTCGCTTTGTCCCTGGACATTACAACGGACAGCAAGGGAATCGACGAACTGCTAGACACAACGGCGCAGGACAAACGAATCGAAAAATATATGCCCGATTACGAGAGGCTCTTCGACGTGGAGGCGGTTCCCTCCAAGAAGCGCCCGGCCAAAGCCTCCGCGAATGGAGCCAGTTCGTCAAAGATGCCCAAAATCGATATGAAACAAATCGAGAGCTACGAATTTGTCGAGTATTTGATTGCGGAGGAACGTCTAACCAGCTGCACGGTCGCCCAGCTGCAGTGGATCCTTCAGAAGCACTTCGATGAGAATTTGCCCAAATCTTCGCCCAAGGACAGACTGGTGAAGTGCATAGTGGCATTGAGTGCCGGAAAGGCAGGCACATAGAATGTAAATTGATGTAAAAAGTATAATTTGTAAGTATTATTGCTAGTTTTTAAGAAGTTTTTGGTAACTGAATTTCTTTTTTTGTTCGCCGTACACTGGGGATATAATTCCTGGTACATCTGAAGGCTTTATTTTCCGGAATTCAGTTTTTCCTTGTTAAATATGAATAAACATAAATATCCAAGAATTTAAAATTCCAAAATGTGTATCGGTTTCGCTGCGATACTATCGATAGACCGTTTATCGCAGGGCTATTGCCATACTGTGTATCGATTCTTTTGACTCATATTTATCGACATTTTCTATAGGCAGCACCGTCCTGCTGTAATTTTAATTGTAATTTGAAAGAATACTGAGCAGCAGAGCGAGATGACTGGCATCATGGACTCGGTGGAAATGCCCAAATTGCCGGAAAACCAAAAGACCTTTGCCGGCATCCCGGAGGCAGTATTCCTGGTGAGTGGGTGGATTCTAACCTAGCAATAGTGCTCTTGGCTGTGGCTGCAGCTGCAATGGAAAACTTGAATTAATCCTTGTCTGGGTCGGTGTTCGCAGGAGGAAATTGATACGTTCATGACCCAGCCCGAGAACGAGAACTGCGAGAAGGTTCTGCAGCGTCTGGACGAGCAGCACGGCAAGTATCGATTCATGGCGTACAACCTCGAGGCGCGTCGCCGGAAGCTGAAATCGCAGATTCCCGACCTGGAGCGTTCGCTGGAGATGGTTAATGTGCTCCGGAAGGAGGACGAGGAGCGCGAGACACAATTCCTGCTCAGTGATCAGGTGTTCATCAAGACCTTGGTGCCGCCCACGAAAACAGTTTACCTCTGGCTCGGTGCCAGCGTGATGCTGGAGTATCCCCTGGACGAGGCCGAGGCCCTGCTCAAGCAAAATGTCACATCAGCCGTGGGCAACCTTAAGTCGGTGGAGCATGACCAGGACTTTCTACGGTCAGTGGGAAGACCCCTTTTCCATTCGAAACGGCGGGTACTAATTATGTTCTTTACTTTTATTTAACAGGGATCAAATAACCACAACGGAGGTGAACATGGCGCGAGTGTACAACTGGGGCGTCAAAAAGAGGCAGGCCGCAGCCAAGACTAACGCCAGCAGTACGCCATCCTAAGCTTCAGCACCAGTAAGAAACCCGCACAGTACTGAAAACAGACATGTGAGTTGTGTAAACTGTGGCTTTCCATCTATTTATGTCAAAACCTCACCAAAAAACGGCCAATCCTTTGCATTGTGATCCTTGCCTGCAAGCGATCGGAAGCAATGCTGATTGCAGCATCTCGCCTGCTTTATTCATATTCTCCACAGATGATGATAATAATAAAACCGCAACACAGCGCATCCAGTTATCCAGACACTAACAATCACTGGCCGTATTCGATACGTGTGTTTCTTAGGACATCCAATATGGGCACAGGTCCGAAAGGCAGATGCCCGAGCTGGTGCAGCCCATGCACTTGTGGCAGCTGCACGTCAGTCCTGGCAGGCATTGGTCCTCCGCATTGTCCCTCGTGCAGAATTCCCCGAGCTGGAGGTAGCAGAAATACCTTGTATTGTTCCCGCAGCGGATTCCGAAGGAGGACGTGCAATTTGGCCTTGTGGCAGGACCTTGTTCGCTGCAGGGAGAACACCTGTCCGGATGTCTGTCTGTTATCTTCTCTTTTTGCTGTTGGCACTCCTCTCTACTTACATGCCTTTCCTGGGGGACAGATAGAGCCAAATCAATAGCCAATAGAATGCCTCGGACATTACATACAGCAAAACTGCTTTCAGAGTCTGGGAATTGAATTGTTTAGTTTGCGGGAACCTGCCAGCTAGTGCCACTGCCGGAATTCCCCTGGTTGAGGTAAACAAGTACCGCACCTTGTGTGAAAAGTGCTGACTCTGGGAGCAGATAAAGGAAGGCTATGGGTGATTAATTAACTATTCTTTTTATTTCTGATGTAAGCAACAATCTTTGACCTAACATGCACACTCAGCTGTGGGACGGAATGGGACTCATTCCCACTTCATAGACTGGTGTATGTAGTCGCCATCGGGACTCGCATAGTTCTTGATGGGTGGGCTGGCGACGGGGCCTTTGAGCGATACTGGCAGCAGCTGCAAGTCGACTTCGATGGCTGCCTGATACAGCTCCTCGGACTCGCGGCGAAGCTCTTCCAGAGCTTTGTTCTGTGACATCACCAGGCGGTCAATGATTTGGAAGTCGGACACTCTCTCGTCGTGCTTGTAGCGGGCCCATTGTTTCTTCAGCAGAGCACGCTCCTCCAGTTCTGCACTGCCCAGGGGCGTCAATTTTCGCTGCCGTTTGCTGGAAATGAAGCAATTTGTACCAACAAAGGGTTCCATTCAACGGCGGGGCACTTACTCCTTTTCGTCAATGAGCTCCAGTGGAACCTCCAGCTCCTCCACCGGCTTCAGCTGGCGGGCATTCTTCTCGAGCCGCCGAATCTGCTTCTCAATCTTCTTTTTCCTGCGGTCCTCCCTCTGCTTGACAACCTGTGGGTCCAGCTTCTTCTTTTTCTTCAGCGGCTCGGCACAGAGCACAGGTGTTGTATGTAGGCAACGTGCAACGGCGGGGCCGGCTACGCCGCCTCTCTGTAAACCTAATCTATGACAGAAAGTGCGCTCGGTCAGTGGGTGGTCAACTCGATGGGCTATAGACTCCTCACTTACCTGGCAAAGGCGCTGATCAGCGACATTTCTTTTTATTTTTTTAGGGTTTACCCGTGAGTAGCGTGGGATTATTTGGCCGGCCGCCTTTTGAAGGTGGAAATTGCCAAGTCAAAGAATAGAATATGTTGGAGAACTGTTTATAGCTTTACCTCAATTTCGTCGATGAAGTCAATTAGTATTTGGTACGCGCTGGTGTTTTCTTTTTATAAATTTTATATTTTTTTTTGTATAATTATATAAATATCAGTTTGACCGCGGATGTATCGATAAAATATGCCGATATATACTGAAACATACCGCCTCATTTTCAAAATATACCATAAATATACTGACGAATTCAAGTTCTGTTTTACATATTCCTCGTTTTTGATATTCCGTGGAATATTACTAGCTATGTAGAACATTTAGCCATGTCATCATAATTTTATACGATTGATTAATCAATTTTCTACTTGATTGGTTTCATTTAAATAAATGCTTTTATTGGATTTCTATATAACGTTGAAAATGAAATTTAATAGATTGATTCGGGCAAATTTCTTGATTTTCGCCCATTCGTCCGATATCACGTCCAGTCATATATATCCCGTTTTCTCCGTTAATTGTGTAATTCCTGTAATTGGACTCAATCCTTATTGAGTCCTTACTCAACAAACCCCAGCTAGTCATATTTCCTCAATTCTTTACAAGGATGATTTTTCATTAATTTTATTCATCAAAACTTATCATAGCTTAGATAAGTTTCTAAGCATAAATAAACCTGAGAACAACGAGATATATCTAGAGTCTGGTAGCCCGAGCAGCTCTTCCCTTGCTTGCCATAGTCAAAAGTCCTTGATGGCTTGTTGGGCTGGGATCTTGAAAGGGGTTCGCTTCTGTCCTGCTAGAATATGATTCTGTTTAGCTGGGATAGGACTCGGTGTGTCTCAAAATACGTTTGGGGCCAAGCGTAGGGTAAATAAGTCCTCTGTGAAGGAAGATATATATCCACAATTACATATATACTGATTCACTTCCGGATCTCGAAGCTGAAGTCGTGGGCATCAACAAACAATTTCGTCGTCGATCCCTGCTGCAGCGGGGGGCTGCTGGACTGACTGGCTCATGATGACACGGCTGAACGCCGGAACCCAAGGGAACCCAATTTTAGGGTCCAGGGCTGCCAAATCCGTTAAACTGTTACGAAATGGATGTGTATTTTCTGGTTCCAATCCGTTTACACGACTCTCCCGACAAAAATTTCTGTTAGTCCAGTAGCGCAGTCTATTAACTATTTGCTTTTTTTGTTTTCTCCTTCGTTTCACGCCTTTCGTAATCGAAAAAATATAGCACTGCAATAGAGATCGGTATTTCTCCATTCCCCAAAAAAGTACAACTCCAGTTCGGCAATTACTATTTTTATACGATTTTAAAACTTTATTTTTAAAGATGAAAATAAACAATATAATATACTTTTATTGTGTGTTGTTTTTTTTTGTATTTTTTTCCTTAGTAAATTTTACATAATTTTCAATAAAATAAGTTTTGTTTTTTTTTTGGTTTTTCGATTAAAAATGTCATATTGTAGTTTAGTGTTTTCTTCATTTTTCCGTTTCCATTACACATTTTTAGTATTTTCGATTTTGTTTCGATCGCAATATAAATTTTTATTTACTTATATTCGCTTACGATGTCCCAAATACTGAATTTACTTTACATTTACTTTACTTCAACCACGTTTCCACACGCGTTTCCAACTTCGTTTCCACACGCAGGTCATTTTAAGGTCACGTGTGGAAACGAAGTTGGAAACGCGTGTGGAAACGTTGGAAACATTGTTGCGTTGCCGGCAAGAGGGATGTTTAGACACAATTTCTTTTCTACATGTAGCATGACTTTTCAATTTGAATCTCATCATTTTGGGGCCAGAATGCGTTTTTGAAAGAAGTTTCCAAAAGGGGGTCAGGGAAACCGTAACCAAAGCGTATGGACGCTATGGTTCATTCGAAATGAGTTAGTTTTAATCATATAAAGTTAGTATATCTCGTATCGTACTCTCGTACGAGTATGTATGTTTTTGGTTTTCATTCCAATATTGTGTGGTAAATAGTAATGTTTTGAGATCCAGGGGTTTTTCAGGGTAGTGGTGGTGTGTGTCTGGGTGTCTGGGTGTTCTCTCCTATTGTTAGTACATATACTTATAAATTTAAACTGTGTGACTGAAGTGACTCGAATTTAAATGCATCTCTCCTGCCTGTAAGGGGAGGGAATGTCTGTTCAAGTTGGAATTCCCGAAAAAATCCTTGGCACCAGGCAATGTTCCGTGGCTCCTGGAACACCTGGCCCATTCAATTTCGCTTACTACGCACTCATCAAAGTTCAACTAAATGTGTGTTAAATCTCAACTTAGGGCAACTCAGGGAAATCGTATATTATATGCATTCGAAGGATTATCATTTTCATCTCCATTCTTACATTCATCTCTCGCTCTGGGCGTTTCGGGGGTGGCGGGGACTGGGTTTTGGCTTTCTTGCCCCGGGGAAACGCCTTGAATCCAGAGCCAATCAATCTTCCACTCTTCTTCCACTTAGTTTACAATTACATTATAAAAGTTATCTCTTAAGTTGTTTGTACTATTGCTTGGAAATCATTCCGGTCTATTGTTGTATTGTAACTCAAAAGTATTCATTTTTCTATTCTTTTTCTTTTTTCGTTTTGCTTAATGGAACATAAATAAATTTCTAGGCTCGATTTGGGTGTTTTGAGAATTTTGTAACGTTTTAACGTTTATTTGCATCCATCAACCGAAACGATGCTGCCCCTTTGTTCGGGGGCGATCGATCTTGTATCTTTTATCATTTATCAATCCAAAAGGTTGGCCGAAACGGTTTAATACGTTTTGAAAAGTTGTAAGCAAAGAACCCTTTACACACCTCTTCAGGATGTGTGCGTGTCTCGTCTTTGTTTTCTTCTGTGTGTTTCGTGTGTCTTCGTAATCGCAATCTTTTGGTTATACAATGTTTCAGCTCAAAGGAATTTACATACTTATATACATAATGGTGTGTCAGTGTGTGTGTGGATGTGGGGGTCTGCGTGTTTGTGTTTGTTACATAATCGACATCCCGTGGGTGCCGTTTCAATTTTAAATTTTGCTAATTTTTACTAGTTCTTTCCCATCAACGACTAAAGAAACGATTACGACGTTTGCCAACTCAAAGATCTGTGGGTGTGTATAGGTGTATTTGTGTGTGTGTGTGTGTGTTAGGGGTAGGAAAGAGCACGAAAGTAGGAAACGTAGGTAGGTTTCCTCCTCCTCCGATTCCAGAAAGTCTTATAGTTTATACGCGATCATCATATCAATATCATTGCTCTGCTTTCTCAAAAGCATGCAGACGCTGGCGTTTGACTGTTTCCTCTGTGTGTGTTTTCGAGTATACGTATCTGTGTGCCATGCATGTCGCCACGGATATCTGAATTCTGCTTAAATGTAGTCGTCTCGCTCTATACCTAATTGCCGCCTCTCTCTCTCTCTCTCTTTCTCTTCAGTATGCCGTACTCACATCTCGTTCTTAGTTCAGTTGCAATCATCTTTTGTTCTGTTCTCGTCTGTTCTCTTAACTTTCGAGTGGAATGGAATACTTATATGCTTCGCTCTATATCTAAATTAAATGTAGCATACTTTCATGCAAGTGTTCGTCGTGTTACAGTGTGTTTGTGTGTGTGTGTGTGTGAGTGTGTTAAATGAGCAACTCAGCGCTATAGTATGCGTATGGTATGGTATGGTATGGTATGGTAAAAGGGGGATACATATGGGGGTATACATTGTTTATGCATATACTTTCTCATAAGTCCAAACCTTTGTTGCATCGCCATCTCCTCTAAGTCATCATTAATTTCTCCATACATAAAGTGTGTGTCGGTCGGTGTTCTAAATCGAGTTTTATGTTAATTTTCATTCGTTTACATACTATAACTAAATACATACATATTTATCGCTTACTTAGGTAGTCAATTACAACTTGCTTCTTTTTTTTGCTAGGGATGGGACTGGGGGATTGGATTGGATTGGATCTGACAATCTATCTTTCGCCGTGTGGTTACCCCTCGGCTTGGACCGCTTCGATCTGGCGGTGGGTGTGTGAGGCCTGGCCAGAGTGTGAGGCAGTTTTGGTTTTTGCTTGCTTTCCGGTCTATTTGGAGCCCTTTTCGCTATCGCTTTCTTCGATTCGTCGCTTAGTTCTTTAAATTTGTTTATACTTTTTACACGTTTAATTTCTTTATACAATTTTTATTTATAATTTTCCCCCCGTCGCGCTGCGCTGTTTTTAGTTACATAAAAAATTAACAGTTTTTATTTTAGTTTTTGGTATTTTCGTTTACTTTTTTTTCGTTTTCGTTTTCCTTTTGGTTTTGTTTTTGTTTTTTTCATTGTTACTTGAAGGCACTTTAGATCGGACGTTGTGGCCCCATTTCAAAATTGCTTTTCACTTTGCTCAACTCGTTTTTATCACGTGGCTGGTTGCTGGTTGCTGCTACTGTGTTGCTTCTGTGTGTGTGGCATGCTGCTGGCTGCATGTTGCTCGTGTGCTATGGAGACGTGGAGACGTGGTCGCAAAAAAACAAATTAACAACAAAAGCCTAATCGAAAGTTGTCGAAACTTTGCCGAAAGATGTCACCGAAATTCTGATTCGAAACTTGTCCTTTGCCTTCTTGCTTTCTTGCTTCTGCTTATGCTTCTTTCTCTCTCTCGTACCGCTGGATTGCCTTGTATTGCCTTGAGTTCTATGGTGCGAAACGGTTCTGGATGTCCTGGAGGTGCCCGGCCCAGACCTGGCCGATCGCCTGGCATCGCCGGCCCGGGCATTTGGTTTTATTTTCGAGGCTGGAGAACTGTCAACGCCCTCTGGCCCCTCACACATGCTCTGCTCTGAGCCAAGGGATCGCCCCAGGGAGATTGTCAGCAAAACTCAAGGATGGGGATCAGGGCTACACACATATATTCTGATAGTGGTGGATACATAGCAAATTTTAGAACTAAACATGCGGGTTAATGGGTTAGGATCCATCGAGTTCGTTTTATAGTATTCTTTTTTTACATACACATCTTATTTCAAAGTGTTCAAGGTCGTAGCCCCACCAACACCTAACTTAAATAGTGTCCTCATGCCTTTAGTTGTTCTTTTTTTTGGTTTTCTTTTTGGATTTTCATATATCTAAACATTTACAGAGTTTT